GCGCATGCCTGTAACCTCAGCACTGGGGAGACGGAGGCAGGAGGATCACTGTGAGTTCGAATCCAGGCTGGGCTACAAAGTGAACTCAAGGTCAGCCAGAACTGCATAGCAAGACCCTGTCTTTAAAAAAAAAATTTTATTCTGGGAGAAGATGGCATGTAAATTCCGCTGATGGTCCATAATTACCCTAGATGAGAAATAAAAAAAAGAATACAAACTCTTTCCCTCCCATTTGCCAGTTTGCTGAGACTTAGCTATAATGGACAGGCACTACCTCTATCATCCGCCCTTAATCACCGAGCCAGCCCCATCACTGGCCAATCTGATGTCTGAAAAGCAGTGAAAATAGCATGGAAAACATCTAGATACTGCATCTGAGAGGAAGTAAGAGAACAGAGAACATATAAAACAACCATTATCTCTTGTATCTTAAAATTATCTTCCTATTGTGATGTAGCAGTAATTGCAAACCTTTTAGAGCTTTCTTTCTTCCTCTCTCTCTCTCTCTCTCTCTTTCTTTCTTTCTGGTGCCAGGGATTGAACTCAGGACCTCACATTCACCAAGAAGGCACTTACACTGCTGAGCTAAAGCACCGGCCCCATAGAGCTTTCAATGATACAAACAACCCACTGTAATATACATGCTACAGATTCACCACCACTGTGATATAGCACAGCCTGCCTCAAACCAAGGTTCATTCCCAAATTCAGCAGCCCCTAGAATACCCTTTTGGAATAAGTCCCTGCAGGAGAACAGCAAGGCTGCTTGGCCTGGCTCTTGCAAAGTTCTGTCCCAGCTCTGGAAAACGATTTTGGAAAAGAAAACAGAAGTAGAGAGAGACAAACTTCTGATGTAAAAAGTACTTTCCCTTTCTAATTTATTACCTTGAAGCAAGGACTGATGGAAGGGGGCCAGCGTACAGGGTCCTTGCGAATGAGATTGACTAGCTGAAAGATGCTTGTGGTATAGAAGGGAGGGGTTCCCACAGCCAGCTCATACAGAATGCAGCCCACAGACCAGAGGTCCGCTGTGTGGTCATATGGTCGCTCTTCCACTAGCTCTGGAGACATATAGAGTGGTGTACCTTTGATAGATGTCAGCACCATTGTATTGGTGCTCATAGCCCGGGCAAATCTGCAACAGATGATAGGATAGAAATGGAAAGAGAAAAGACATTCCAGACATGATTATTCCTAGAAATTAAATTCTTATGGTTTGTATCTAGATATCTCCCAAAAGCCTCATGTGCTCATAGGTGGGCCTTCTGAGAGGTGATTGGAACTTGGCAGTGCGATACTCACCAGTAGGTGAGTCCACTGAGGAGTTTACAGCTATATGTGATGCCGGGAGGCATTGCTTGTCCGAGGAACTGTGTCACTGAGGGCACTGCCTAAAAAGCTTTATTCCCCCTCTCTCGTCCCTTGATTTCTCTCTGCTTTTCCATCACTATGCCATGAGCAACTGTACTCCAGTGCCGTACAGTTCTGCCTTGGAGTCAGCGTACACTGGACTGAAATCTCTACAAACTGTGAGCCACACTAAAACTCTCCTTCCTTAAGTTGTAAGCAGCAGGTATTATATCTTGGTAACAGGAAAATAACTAAAACAGTCATTTACTGCCTGTCATTGTATGAAATATCCCAAGTCAGAACAGAGAAAGTATCTTTGGTTCCAAGGGACCCAGCAAAAAGGCAAACTCCAGCTTCTAAAATGAAGCCCAAGCAGGTTATGCATATAGTCGAGGGCTCCCTGCAGAAATGGAAGCTTGGAAACCTTACCCAAAGTCACAGAGTTTGATGCCACCACCCTTGGCAAGAAGAATATTCTGAGGCTTCATGTCTCGGTGTAGGATGCGATGGGAATGCAAATAGTACAGGGCTGACACTAACTGGGCAGCAATGGCCTGTACCTAGGGGTCAGACAGATGGGAGGGAGAAAGAAAGGTGAGTGGAAGGAGATGGCTGACAAGATCAAACACCTTTCCTAATATTACAGCTAAGGTGATCTTTCCTGTTCTCCCAGAGCTCGGAATGGTGCCCATCAGCTAAGCATGGTAGGCGTACGCCTCTACTCCTAATACTCAGGGGGCTGAGGCAAAAGGATCCCCGTGAATTTGAGGCCAATCTGGGCTACATAGTGAGATCCTGTCTCAAAAGAAAAAAAAAGGTACCTGGCATGTAGTAAACATTCAATACAAATTAACTGTTAATAAGGCCGGGGGTTTAGCTCAGTGGTGTAAGTGCCTGCTTGGCAAGCATGAAGTCGTGAGTTCAATCCCCGGCACCAAAAAAAATAAATAAATAAATAAAAAAGAAAAAAAATTAAATGTTAATAAATAAGGCAAAATCCTCTTTCTCAAGAGAATTAATGATACAAAAAGACAAAATAAAATGATTACTTACAAATAGGGAAGTGAAGGAGAAAGAATACAATAATAAGGATTTCAGCAGGAGGCACTACTTACTAGACTTATTAGAAAGAAACCCTTAGAATGTATGAGGCTAAAAACTATTCAAACTGAATCCCATTGCTAATCACTATGTTCCTGGTGGTGAATATCACATGACCATAATCCTTATCTCTCACTGCCCTCTCTGGTACCACCATACTGGCCTATCTTCTTCAAAGATACCTTATAACAATGACTATAATATTAATACTAGCCAACTATTTAAATACTTTATCTAAATTAACTCATTAATCCCTATAATTGCCTTATGAGGAAAATACTAGTATTATCACCATTTTACAAATGAAAAAACGAAACACAAAGAGATTAATTTGTCTAAGGAAAACCAATTAGTGAGGGGAAGAACCAAGCTTCGTACTCACATGTTATGGCTCCAATGTTCACATACTCTAACACCACATTGCCTCTAAGTATTCTCAGACTCTTGCATCCTTGTCAGGATTCTTCAAAATGGAGACTCTCAAGGCTTTCGGCCTGCCCTACCCCATGCTTCACCTGGAGAGTGAGGTATGGGAATCATACCTGCTCCTCAGGAAGTTTTCCATCATCTTCCAGGATCTGAAAAAGCTCTCCCTCAGCATAGTCTGTCACTACCACCACCTGAAGGGAAAAGGTGATAGAAAATTCATGCATTCTGAAGTTGGAAATACCTGGGACTCTTGCCCTGGGGAGCAGTGACCCCCAACCATCGAAACACACCTCTTTGTCAGTTTCAAAGCTGTCAAGCATGTGCACAATGTTGGGATGACGAAGGCCCTGCATGATTTCAATCTCTCGCTGCAGATTCCTCAGCTCCTTCTCTGTGCGGCCCAGTTTGGGGATGAACTTCAGCGCCACCACCTGTCAGTGGCAAAGACTGGAGGTCTAACTACAACTATGGAAAAGGCTAGAATTTCAAGCTTCACCACAGAGCTCTAAAGCTCAAATTTACAAGTCTGAGTAACTCTTAGCATACCTGCTCACTTCCCATCTCTGTTTTTCCCATGGTACTTTAGTCTCACACAATACCCTACCAACCATTCTACCACTGCTCAGCCCAGAAAGAAACAATATTTGCCAAACAGATCCCTTTGTGGGATTTTTTTCCCCCTAGTACTGAGGATTGAACCCAGCACCTTCACATTGAGCCATGTCCCAGCCCCTTTTAATTTTTTGAATCATGTACACATTAATTACTAAGTTGCCCAAGCTCAGTTTGAATTTGGGATGTTCCTGCCATAGCCTTCCAGAGTACTGAGATTACTAGCACACAACACTACACTCAGCTCCCTTTGTTGGATTCTTAGAGAGGTGTTCTGATCTAACCAAAAAACTCAAGATGAGATTGAGAGAAAAAGAAAAAGAAAAACGAAGAGAGGAAAGAATTCAAAGCGGTTTCTCTCTTCCTGGATGGCATGACAGACTAACAAAAAGAGTAATATTTGTAATTTACAGGGATCAAGTACTGTACTAAGTGATTTAGTTTTGAGATATTTAACCCTCAAACCACATCAGTTATTATCTCCATCCTATAGATGACAAAACTGAGACACAGAAAAACAGCCCATAGTTCTAAGGTTGTAAATTGAGGCAACTGGAAATTGAACCCAAGTAATCCAATTCAGGTATCATACTCTGTAAGAACTTGGTGCCTTCAGAGTATAGGTTGATATAAATATAACCCTTTGCCTCCGTTTTCCACTAGAATTGGGGCCAGAGAATCCCGCTCAAAAATACCCTTCTGTGTTCACCACCTGAGCACTGTATTTTTTTCGACCCTTGTACACTCTCCCAAAAGAGCCTTCTCCAATCATCTCCAACACGTGGTACTTGTCCATGACAAAGGTTTCAGGATCTCTCAGAAGGAAGATGGTAGAGACGGTAGCAAGGAGCTACACATCCAGGGCCAGTTCCACACATCTGAGAAGCCTAGTAAGGGTGCAGAGAGATAAACGTTAGCACCCTAATCTTTTTCACAGTAATCCAGGTTTCAAAAATATGGCAGAGTGGTATAGATGGAAAGATGATGAGATTTTTGAACAGACCGGCTCCTTGGACTTCCTTCCCTTTTTTCAGTCTCCGGTCCACTCTGCCAACCAAGCCCCGCACCCACAAGATAACCCGTTGCCGCCCCTCTCAAATTAGCGTCGCCCTTTCAGCCTCTCCCAAATTCCTGCTACTCCTAGCCTCGGCCAGCCACCCGGATCCCTAGCTCTATCGCTTGGCCGGCCAAGGGCGCGTCTTTCACCCTAGTCCAGGAGCTCCAAACTCCTCAGGCCGAGGCGGCACACCTGCCTCGCCTCTACTCTAGTCCCTTCTGGCTGCCTACATACTTTGCCTGACCCATCATTTTTCTCCACCCACTTCTGCCGGTCTTTTTAGGCTTCCATTTTTACCGGTTTTACTCGCTTAGAACTGGCAGAAGTTCCGAGAACAAAGGCTCTCGGAAGCGTGGGAGAGACGAAGAAAGCCCATAGACACTTTCCAGGGCAATTTAAAACTGCGGTCGGCCATCAGGCCCGGCTAAGGACCCGGAGTCCGCGGTTGCCTAGAAACAGCGCGAGCTCCGCCCGCTGCGTTTGCCGTCCCCAACTTTCCAAAGGGTATTTCCGGTTCCGGCTGCCGGCTGGGGAAGACATGGCGGTGTCTGCGTCGGCACCTGCAGGGGAGGAAGACTGGTAAGCTTGGGTCTTGGGCTTTTGCTGGCTGCCTGAATCTGATGCGGAGAACTAGCGGCGGCTACAGACAGTCCTTGTGGCGATCATCTGGGACAGAGCAAGGGATGAGGGACGACAGAGACGCTGACACCTCCTCCTAGGCGAGATTCTGGATTGGGAACCAAAGAGTGGAGGGGCGCAGATGTGTGAGGAGTCTGGGTCTGCACCTGCTTGGCCAGTTGGGACCGCGCCTTGTTGGCTTGATTACTGTACCTACCCGTTGGCCCCACTCCTTCCATTTTCTTATTAAGTAAATTTTCTCAGGCGCTTGAGGAATGTCAGACCTCTTCAACTCCCAGAAATGTTCTCCAGCTCCAATCCCTGTTTGCCCCTTAGTTCAGTCCATTTCTGCCTGCTCTTTCCCGAAACTTCCCCGACAGCATTGATGAGAGCTATTGTCAGGGTAAAGCTGAAGAAGAAGCCCCTCACCCAAGCATTCTTAAGAGACAAGAACCTGTAACGACTCGCAGATTTGGAAATAGGGTAAATGTAGGCTCACTCCCCATTTTACTAGCTGTGTGATGCTCACCATGCCATGTAGCCTTGTGACTCATTGTTCTTAGCTGTGAAAAAAGTAGGTGTGGCATCTTAGAGTACCCAAGAGGATCACATGGACTTGTAGCATACCTAACCCTTCTTTTTATTAACTCAGGAAATAGAGTATCTGAGAAGACTAGATGAGCCCCAGAGAAGTAAAGCCATTTTCCAGAAGTTACAAAGTTATTACTAGGAACCCAGGTTCTGACTCCAGATCTTTTATTCTTGTTTTTTTTTTTTTTTTTTTTTGGTCTTTTGCGTTTTTATTGGTACCAGGGATCGAACTCATGACCGCACACTTACAAGAAAGGCGCTTATGCCGCTGAGCTAAAGCCCCAGCCCCAAGATCTTTTATTCTTAATACTAGGACACTCTGTCACACATACACACATACCCTTTTGGTCATCACCCTACCACCATCCCATCCTGTACCTCACACCCAGAACCCAAGTCACAGGTAGGATGGGCAAAGTATTGGAAAGCCTCTTGCCTGAAGCTCATGTGTTACACCTCAGTGATAAGTTAATTGTGGGAGCCCAGCCAGTGCTGGCATTTATTAAAACAATCTAAACTAGCAGTTTTCACTGTTTGGGGGAACTTTAAGTTTCTGAGGGGACACCTTGAGTAGTGAGATGGCAACAGTGACTGTTGTACTGCAAGGTCTAGTGTGGGGTTCCATTCCTATGTCATCAGAACTACTCTCTTACAAACGTAAAGCTTTCTATTTTATATTTTTTGAGGCTTCTACCTAGAGCTTATAAATTTTTTTTTAAAAAGAAACTATGTTATAGGTCATGCTATGGAAGACCTGCTCTTTGTGAAGAGGGAACAATATATGAGAGCAAAACATGTGTCTTTCCATTTATCACCCAAATTAAACTGTGACTAAAATTACTTACCTTCAGTATCATTACAGTTGCTATTTTTGTGCTTACCTGTATGTGTCTTCTTGTTTACAACAGTATCATGGATCCTAACCTGACAGGGTCATCTAGGCCAACCAGACAGCCAGGTCATAAATATATCCAGAATATTCTTAAGAATATCCTTCTTTCCTTTTAAGTGGGAAAGTTATACAAATAGGAAGAAAGGGAACCTAAACTAGTTACTATTGCTCAGATACTTTTAGGCACTATAGATAAACAAGTCACATTTAATCCTTATGATAGCCCTAAAGAGTATCTATATGTAGTAGATATGTGGTATCTCTATGTAGTAGGGAGGCTCAGGCTTACAGAATTAACTGCCCAGATTACATAGTAGCTGATAAGCAGTCAGTACGTATTACTGACTCAAGGGCTGAATGGCTCTTTTGCTACAACACAGTCTTTATGCCACTTAGACCTGTTCTGTTCAGGTTGGTATCTCCTGTGAGCAGGCTTATGATGGTGTTGGTAGTGTATTTAGGCACTAGGCAAGGCACTGGGGTCCATGCTGCGGTGTAAGGAAAGGCAGTAGTAGTAACTTTGTTAGCAGTAAATAGATACCATATGTGTGAGTTGGAGAGCTAGCCACTAAGAAATAACAAGCTGCAGAATGAAATTTGAATGGGAAGTCAGGAAACCAGGCTCTGGTCCCCATCCTGCCCATGTTAATTCTTGGCTAGTCTTTTCATCTCTCTGGGAGTCTGTTTCCTGACCTGTTGCCAGAAGTGATCTCTAGAATTCTGATTCCCAACTTCTACCTTGCCACTTGGCAACTTTAGAAAAATTTCCCCTCTTTTTTTAAAGAATTTAACAAGTGAGCCAGGCGTGGTAGCTCATGCCTGTAATCCCAGCACTCAGGAGACTGAGGCAGGAGGATCCTTGTTAGTTTGAGACCAGCCTGGGCTACAAAATGAGCTTAAGGCCAGCCTGAACTGCATAGTGAGACCCTGTCTCAAAAAGACCAAAAAAAAAAAAAAAAAAAGAAGAAGAATTTAACAAGTGAATGCTTTGAGGCAGACTGTCTTGTTTTCTACACAGCCAGCCTTTGTCAGCTTTAGCAGGCTTCCACAGGAAGATCTGTAATGGTGAGCCAGTTTCCTCCTGTGTCTTTAGGGTTCTTCCCTCTGAAGTTGAAGTGTTAGAGTCCATCTATCTGGATGAACTACAGGTGATTAAAGGAAATGGCAGGTATGTATTCAACTAGGGTATGCAGAGGTATCCTTAGTAATGAGAGGATTCTATGCATAATCTGGTTTTGACATGGCGGCCCTTGATTCAGAGATAATGCCTCTTTTGTGTACACAAAAGCTGTTCCTTTAATCTGCTCTAAAGAAAGAGACCAATGCTCACTTTCTCTGCCTGCTCATTCCCCACGTCCCCATCCTTCGAATCCCTCCTCAGTCAATCTTGAGTCTCACTTCATCTACTTGCAGATCTTCACCATGGGAGATCTTCATCACTCTGCACCCTGCCACTGCAGAGGACCAGGATTCGCAGTATGTCTGCTTCACTCTGGTGCTTCAAGTCCCAGTGCAGGTGAGACTCCCGCTGCATATATAAAGGGAAAAATGAGTCCCTGGGGGCAATTGCTTTAGCAATTGACTTGTTATTTTCCCCCACACTAGTATCCCCATGAGGTGCCAGGGATCTCTATCCGGAACCCCCGAGGACTCTCAGATGAACAGATTCACAAGTGAGTTGGGCTTTCAGAGCAGGGAAGACTTGGTATGCTTCTCTGCCTGGAGGGAAGGGGCAGGCCTAATGCTAGCTTTGCTGTCTTCTTCCAGGATCTCACAGACACTGGGTCACATGGCCAAGGCAGGGCTGGGTACTGCCATGCTCTATGAACTCATTGAGGTGAGGTGTATTGGCATGGGAGAATATCCTTCCCTTTAAGCTACGGCAGTTGTGTTGTATTGTTTTTGTTTTTTGTTTTTGTTTTGAAAGGAATCCTAAATCCATCATATTTGGAGTCATTCCTTTAGTCTTTAGGTAAGACATAAATTAATTTAGAAAGATAACTGTTATGTTTCAAAAAAATTTCTCCAAAAGACCCTTTAGTAGCTTCACCAAGTTGCCTGTTAGAGTATCTTGACAGAAAAGTACTTTTCCTCTTTAGCTTACTTTTTTCTTGCTGAAGTTTCATGGCTTTATCATTCTCTTGGCATAGGCAACTTAAATGGCAAAAAATAATTATCTTGCCTAAATGGTCTTAGCCATTTATGAACATTTGAAGACTAGTAATTGGAGCCAGGAAGAGTCATAGTTCTGTACTTAAGAGTTTATACCATAATTAAGCAATCCACATGAAGCAACATGTAGAACTATAAATTAATACACACATAACTTTTATTATTTGACTTAAAAAAAACAAGTCTTGGGGCTGGGGATTTAGCCCAGCGACATAAGCGCCTGCCTTGCAAGCAGGCAGTCGTGAGTTCGATCCCTGGTACTGATAAAAAGACAAAAAAAAAAAAAAATAATAAGTCTCATTTTCCTCGACTTGGAATTGTTTTAAGCAAAATGAAGGTGAGTGTCTAGAGCCAGGAGTTGGGTGTGTTACAGTACCATAGCACTCCTAGGTGAGGTCTTCACAATGTAGCTTTAAACTGAAATTCCAGAGTATTAGTTATTCAACTATTACATTAAAAGTCACTGTCAAGAGGAAAAAACAATTTGGATTTTGAAGGCAGAAAGATTCAATTATGGGAGGGGCGGAATGTGCAGCAAGATTGCTCACAGGCAAGGCGAGCACCACCAGAATTGGAATGCATAATTACCTAGTAACGAGCTGGCCTGGTGGGTCGGAGTCCAGCATGTCACTCCTCATGCCTGGGAGGAACAGACAGGCTTGGCTGATAGTTGCTGCCTGTGCCTCTGTATTTGAGCAATATTCTCTTTTCTCAGAAAGGGAAGGAAATTCTCACAGACAACAACATCCCCCACGGCCAGTGCGTCATCTGCCTCTATGGTTTCCAGGTGGGTCTCTCAGTTGGGACCTGGGATGTGCCAGGGACAGGTTGAGTAGAGCTTGAGAGTGACCACTGACCAAGTGCCTGCCATGCACCCCTGCTGCAGGAGAAGGAAGCCTTTACCAAAACGCTGTGTTACCACTATTTCCACTGCCACTGCCTTGCTCGGTATATCCAGCATATGGAGCAAGAGCTGAAAGCTCAAGAAGAAGAGCAAGAACAGGAACGGCACCATGCTGCCACCAAAGAGGTAGGCCCAGCCAGCCCCAGCTCTCACCCAACACTTTGAGACCTTCACAGCCATTCCCATCCCTCCAATCCAGTGGCTTTTTACCTTTTTAGAGTCAGATATCTTTGAGATGAATGAATATCACCTCTGTCCATAAAGAAAAGGGTACTCTTGTGTACAGGTTCAAGGGGAGATCAAAATATGTGGTGAATATTTAAAAACACTACAGTAAACGATACATTATCTTTAATTCCCAGAAAATACTCCCCCTTACTTTGGACACACTTGTCCCATTGTTCTTGCCAATTTCTGAGGCTTTTCGGAAGTCATTTTGTGTCTTTAAGAGGAATAATAAAGAATAAAGTGAATGTTCAGGCTATGTGCTATCCAGCAGAAAGGCAGGCTGGTAAAAAGGTGATGTCATCTACTTTATTTACTTATTTATCTTTGAGACAGGGTTTCACTGTGTAGTTCAGACTGGCCTCAAACTCAGTGATCCTCTTCCCTCTGCCTTAGAGTGCTGGGATTATAGGTGTGTGCCATGATGCTGAGCCTTATCTACTTTGTTCGCCATTGTCTAGCATTCTATGACTTTGAGCTTTTCCCCAGAATAAAAGCAACCATGAAAAGTAGACATTTTGAGTCAATCCAGGATATGAAGGCATCCATGATAGCAACTAAAGACATTTGTGAACGAGTACTTCCAGATCTGCTTCAGAAAGTGGCAAGAGGATTTCCTGCCTCCTTGTATTCCAGTTCCAAGGGCTGAGGACTGAATCGATCATGAAGATTGTAGGCACATTAGGAGGGTTCCTTATGCTTTTCAAGCTGACTCATATTCATACTGATTTGATGGTGAGCTGGGCCACACTGCCCTGTCTCTAGAACTGACTTCTTTAACTTCATTTATCTTCTAACTTTCTGTGGCATACAGGTTCACGAACAATTAGGTACTTTTGTTGAAATTTGAATCACATATGATTTGGTGTATTTAGATTTTAATGTGCACATTACTATGACATGCTAAGTCAAAAATTTCCAGTAAGCTTTGTGATGAAGAGAATAGCCGTAAACACAAAAGTAAAATGGGACAGATGTACTCTATGTCAGGTAAAATTGAATACCCAGGAGTCTTTCCAGGAGTGTCATGTCACGGCAGTTGTCCCTGTTAAACTATACAGATTTTACTCCTTCCTGTTCTGTAGAAGGATTAAACTATAAATTCTGGATCATGAAGTGTCCTTACCAACTCTGGTGATCAGGGTGCTTAAAGATTTCACTTCTTAGATATTAGACAGATGCCCATGGGGATCATCTCTGACCATTTTCAACATGACCTTTTAAAATGAAAAACTTGCCATTCTTGTAAAATAACTGTTTCTTCACTACTGTTTCAGAAATAATTGTGTTTCAAAAAATACACAAAAGCAAAAGAATAATCACTAGACAGAAGTAGTGCTGTTGATATTTTGGTATGTAACCTTCCAGATTTTTATATGCATATCTATACTTTTAAATTTTTTATGAAAGTGAAGTCATCCTTGTCTACTTAAAACCAGCTTGTTTCATATTATTTCCCTGTGTCATTAAATAATTACCCCCTGCCCCACAAAAAAAGAAAAAAAGAAAAACTTGCCATTCTATCCACGTTTATAAAGTCTTTGGGTGGAAAAATGGCTTCTTCCAGATTTTAACTTTGTGATAAGTGCAATTTTAAATAAATGGTCTTAGAATTCTTTAAAAAAAAAAAAATGGCAAGAATGCATGTGTTTAGAGCAACAGAATATTTCAAGTGGGATTAATGACACTGTGTCTCCTCCTGTGATAATTTTTTTTACTTATTCATTTTATTTGTTTATTTATTTATTGTCACATCACACACACATTGCCTGCAGTTTCCAAGGGTCCCCAGACTTCGGCTTTGTCATCTCCTCCATCCTCCCTCACTGCTGAACAGATAGGCCTATGCCCTTCAGTCCCAACGCTCTGCAAATCAGGATGGCTGCCAGAGCGCAAGGTGTGATTTCTCCTCTTGTTTTAGACGGCAATCGGTGTGCAGTGTCCAGTATGCAGAGAGCCACTCGTGTATGATCTTGAGTCACTGAAAGCAGCCCCTGAACCCCAGCAGCCCATGGTAAGGAGATTCCTTTCTTATCTGAGCCAGGATTAATGGTGTTCTCTAAGGTGGGAAGAATGGCATCTGGTCCCACTTAATGGGATCTCTAGAATTGGGCTTGACATGCCTAGACCTGTCCACCAAGCCACAGCCCCACTGAGGCCTTGACTTTGAGGCAAAAAACCAAGCACCTTGGGCTGCTCTCCATAGGCACTCCTAGAAGCATAGGGGTTCGAGTCTGCCACCTTCTGGTTTTTTTTTTCCCCCTCCCTGCCATTTTGCTTCCTTCTCTCCAGGAGCTGTATCAACCCAGTGCAGAAAGCTTGCGCCAGCAGGAGGAGCTCAAGCGACTCTACCAGAAGCAACAGGCGCGGGGCGGCATCATTGACCTTGAGGCCGAGCGGAAGCGGTATTTCATCAGCCTTCAGCAGGTGAGGGAAGCTTCCCACTTGCCCTCTACCACCACTAACTTCCTACAAATGCCATTCTGCCATGTCTTTGTTCTACCCAGAAGGTTACAGGCTGATGGTGGTTAACTGTCGTAGGAGAGGGGCCTGCAGTTCTCATCCTTGAGGATCTGCACCTCCCTCAGTATATCTTTTCTCTCCAGGCTTCTGCCCCTCTGGAACCCGAGGCAGCTGTAGATGTCTCCAGAGGATCCCACCCACCACCTAATGCCCTTGCCACAGAACAGTCTACTTTCCCAGCTGCCCAGCCCACCCTGCCAGTCCCTTTGCCTGTGGCCACCCAGTACACATGTGAAAAGAAACCAGGGACTGGGCCAAATCAGCAGAAGTTGGGTGAGAACAAAAAAGCCATGCTAGATCCACCCCGGGCCAGTCAAGGGCCCTGGCGACAGCCCAGTCAGAGGCACCTAAAGGGAGGGGAGTTCTCTGTTCTCAGAGGTACCAGTGACACCCAAGAACTGCCACTTCCTGAGAGGCCCCTCAAGGAGCCTGTCGACCTTAATCTGGAATCACAGAATCCAGTGGTTGAAGGTTCCACCCAAGAAAAAGGACCTGGCGGCTGGCAGGGCCCTCCACCCCACAGGACGAGAGACTGCACTCGCTGGGGGCGCTCTAAAGGCCGGACACCAGGCTCTTCCTACCCCCGCCTGCCTCGGGGCCAGGGAGCATACCGGCCTGGCACTCGGTCTGCTCCTCGGAGGGAACCACTAGGTCTGGAATCTGAGGATGGTTCCTAGCAGTACTGTAGGGGGGACAGGGAGTTGGGGCTGGGAGGGGGACAATAAAGACATTTGGCCTTGTTTGCCTTTCTTTGCTTAGTAGTTCCTAGCTTGTGAGGTTTGTCCCTCTTTTTGCATTGGCATGATTGGGGTATGGCAGAGTAACCCCCTTTCATCCTTTAGTCCATTCCCCCAAGTGATCAAGGCAAAAAGGGCTTTGACTTTTCCAGTAGTGTAATGAGTTTCTGGAAAAACAGGTGGGAGGCTGATGAAACAACATAATCCTTAAAGAGGCAAAAGTGTAGAGCCCAGTGGGTGTATCCTCACATTTATACACTTCTTTTACTTGGTGGATTGAACTCAAGGCCTTTGCAGTTGGCTGCGTCCCTGACACCCTGCTTCCAAACCCTCAGCTTCTTTTTTTGAGAAAGTGTTCCACTGAGTTGCCCAGGCAAACCTTGAAGTTGGCATTCTCTTGACTCAGCCTCCCAGAGTGCTGGGATTACAGGCGTACATCTCCATACCTGGCTGCACATGTTTCTAAGGTGCCATTAGACACCTTCAGTCTAGGGTCTCTTCCTCCCCTCTGCCACAGGCTGTGCCATCATCTGTACAGGTGGTGGCATGACTGACCCTTCTCACCATCTGTGATTGCAGCCTCTGCAGTCACAGCACAGCAAGGGAAGAAGGGAAGTCAGACCAAGGCAGAGTGGCAAGTATTTATTGATTTCTTCAGAAAGGAGAGCTGAGCATGGCCTGGCCATTTACCTCAGGGACTCAGCATTATGAATTGCCCCTGCAGGGTCATTTTTATACAGCATGAAGTAGCCCTGCACCTGGGCAGGACTAATCTGGGTTGTAGCTTGAAGGACACGTTCTGCAAAAGTCTCAGCCAAGGAAGGTGCTTGCCCCGGATAGAACCTCTGGAACATCTGTACCAGCTGCCAGTGTGAGCAGTAGCCCACGTACTCCTTCATATCTACTCGCCCAGGGCGTATCAGGGCAGGGTCCAGCCTAGGAGGAGAAATACAGTTACAAGCAACAGCCCCGATGGCACCCCCCAAAACAATGATCACTTCTACCTCCTGATACTCCCAAGATGCAAAGCGACTGGAGTCTTGCCTCACTCCTTACCTGTCAACATGGTTCGTGGTCATGAACACAATGCGTGCCTCGGTAGACGCCACACCATCCAATGCATTGAGCAGCCCACTGAAAGTGAGACGACCTAGACCTTGGTACTTCACAGGGTCTGGAGGAAGACAGGAGAAGCTGAGTGCTTACAGCACTGCTCAGAATGAACATGGTCGCCCTACTCCACCGTGCCTTACACTGGCAACCCAAGTGTCCTCCATCAACCTTCTGGATTTTAACTCTCCTCCTGTCCTCATTTAGAACTCCTTACCCCCCACCCCCACCCCCAGCACGTTCACTTACTCTCTGCAGCCAGGTCTCGACTGAGAAAAGCGGCATCCACATCTTCCAGTAGCACCAGGCTCTGCTGCGGGGCCACACTCAGCAGGTGGTTGAGCCGGTCATCAGACAGGCTAGAGTCCGTGAGACTCAGCAGACAGATGCTGTGTTCCAGTTCTCCAGCCAGGGCTGTGCTGTGGACCATGGTATGGCAAGAGGTAGCAGACAACCTGGGACTCTTCTTGAGCCTAGCTGTGTTTTGTCCCAGTCCTGGGAAGTGTGTCTTAAAGGGCCTGGCTTGCCCACAACCCACCCAGTGTTCTGTGTGTCTTATGTTTGTCTTGGTACCCCAGATTCATTTCCCTCTCCAATCCCATCAGCTCACTTTTGTCACAAAAGCTAAGTCTCACAGTTGAAAGAAATTTCGACTACTCACATAAAACTGCTCTTCCCACAGCCAGGAGGCCCGTAAAGCAGATAGCCACGTCTGTAGGGAATCCCTAGGGATACAGTCAGGAAAAACAAGACCTAAAATTACTCTGCCCCCGTATCCACATTCATCCCCAGCCCTGGCCTATACTGGCCTGGTGACTTCTGAAATTGTCTACATAGGCAATTTTTCTTTCCCCGTCACCAGTGGTGACTGTGAATTGGGCCAGAGACCACTCCCTCTCTGCTGAAACAGTAATAGTCAAAAGCAGCCCAGCCCAGCCCGTTTCTCACCTCTGTCAGTATACCATTTAGGGTTATCAATGAATTCCCGAATGTCTCTGACAATTCGATCGGCCAGACCCTGCTGTAGAACTACAGAACTCAGGGGCCGCCGTCGGCGTGGATAGCCAAAGAGCCGCCATTCGGAGCCCACAGCTGTGTACATCACTGTCTTCCCTTCCTCCTGTTGCAAGGCTAGCGCTCGAGCTGGGAGGGGAGAGATGCGACAAAGCCAGTAATTTTGTTCACCACTGTTGACTCTTCACCAAAATGGGCTCAAATCCCCTTATTTCTCCTCTCCAAACTGTCCTTCCTCTGCCGTCCAGAGTTTCCATCCCTGTTTCCCCTCTAAAGCCTTCTGATGCTCTCCCACACCTTCCTCCAGAAGGTTGAAGAAAACCTTGCGGTCAGTGCCCAGGGCTGTGAAGGTGACTGATTCCCAAGGGGTGCCAGTCTGTAAGTCTATCATCTGCATCTCTCGGCTTCGTTCCACCCGGATCCACCTCCCCTGATACCTGAGTAAGAATGGTCAAACCAATAAGTGAACGAGAATGTGACACAACCAGGTCTCTCCATTCTCCTGTCCTATTCTCACAGCCCTCCCTGGCTCCCAGCCTTACCAGATGAAGTGATTCCCAGGGCTGGGAACAAACTCAAACTTGGTAGATATGCGGCCACTCTCATGCTGGAGGTACGAAGTCTCCACACTGAGGTGCTGAGTACGGGTACTGTGTCGGGTAAGCCAGCTAAGCAACCAAGCATAGCTCCTGTCTCGAGCAGGCACTTCCAGTGTAATCATGTAATGGCGCCGAAACGCTACCAGTCCCAGTTGGGCACCCTTTCGGGCCAGGGCTAGGGCTGTGCCCACACCCACTAGCCCAAATCCAGCCCCAAAATAGGGATTGTCCTTCAGGGCTAGAACAAAGTCTGAAAGTGGCATCTTGAAAGGGAAACACCAAAGCTTATAGGCTGAGAAGCATTATCAAAACCTGGGGAGTGGACAGCAGTAGAGATGGGACAAAGTACAAGTTTAGTTTAGAAACTGGAACCTACCCTATGTCCCTATCCTTGTCCCACTCCCTGCTTTAATATCCTCCTTCCGAAGGGCAGGGCTGGTGTTGGAATACAAGGGCCAACACTTCAGGCCCTTCATCCCATTCTGCCCTTCACCAGCCTACTCATACCTCAGTTTCCTAGCAGAGGAATGTGTTTGAAGACTCCTTAAATCTAAGAGAGCAATATAACTGGCTTCACATCATGGTAACAGATGGACAGTATCTGTGAACCCTGGGGCCAGCTGAGATGGTAAAAGGCCCACTGGCTAGAGTTAGCAGGGGTGGCCCTTCCCTCCATCTGTAGGTGACCACATGTCCTTCAAATATTCTGTCCCTTATACACCCAATTCCTACTGTCCTGTTTACAGTATATCCCTGACTTAAGAACATTCAAATTGCAAACTTTCAGATATGAATGGACCTCACACTAGGAACATTCAGATGCAACCAAATCTCAGAAGTAGCTCGCACACCTGCCGGACATGGTCACATAGGTGCTATCGTGCTTACTGCACGGTGCAATTCTGTACCTTAGTACAATGCTCAGTCAGAGTCCACGATGTCTGGAAGCAAGAGGAAAAGCAGTAGTGATGGGAGGGGTCTGTAGGAAGCACAAAGCAATGTACATTGTATATTTGTGTCACGGATGTATAAGACTCGTGTCAGACTTTGGAATGAATTTAACTTAGGAACGGTCTCTAGGTTCAGTACTCATTCCTAAATCGGGGACTTACTATGATTATCACCTCCCACCTAAACTGTCTCTTTAAATTTTAATTACTGCCACAGCATTTTAGTGAATCTTCAGCTCTTATATCACTAAACACCTATACAGAAATCTAAAGGATCAACTTCAATTTATATCAATCCCTTCTCCAGTCTCCCAGCCGACCCTAAACTATTCAAACTCCTCAGCCTGGTACTCGAGGGCCTCTACAACAAGGCGCCAACCTGTGTTTCATGGCTTAGCTCCTAATAACGCCCCCCACACACACACACAAACAGGCAAAACACCTCCCACCTCCTTCTTCTCGCAGTTCTCTCTGCCCAGAATGCCCGTTCTTTATTCTTTGCATTCTTCCCATGTATTTCCTCCACAGAGCCTTTCCTAAATTCAACCCCAAAAGACATGCTAGGTCCCACTTGCAACAAGAAGACCCGTAGAGATAGGACAGAAACTGTTTCTAGCATATCGCTGCGACAGCCCACCTCACCCATCCGCGCCATTCCGGCCAGCGCCTGGCACGAAGGGCAGTGAATTCACAAGCAGTGACTTCGGCTGAGGTTCGGAGATCTGGGATCCAGAATTCCAAAACACCTACGCATGCACAGAAGGCTACCGACAAAGCTCCTCTCTTCCCCAGTCTTCTCCGGACATCCTAAAGGCCCTTCAGAACCCGTTCTATATAGTGTCCCACGCTCCTAAGAACATGGTTTGCAGCGCTCAGTCACCCCACCCCCTTACCGCTGTGGCTCTCTGGCCCTCCAACTCGATGGTTTCACCCCTCGGCCCCAGAGTGAAGCGCCGCTCGGCCCGCCCCCTAATATCTCTCCGTACTTCCCTCCACGCCCACCAGGAAGACCATGCCACTCTGCCCCGCAACTCTCGATGTTCCTCCTTGCGCTCCAGGGTTACAGGAGGGAGAAGGATGACGGAGAGGGGGAAAAAAAATAGTAGAATATCCTTCGGCTGACTAGGGGAAGTGTGGGCTCTATATGCCGGATGTTCTAGAGACGGACGGGCCCGGAGCGGTCGCACAAAAGCAGCCCTGGGAGGCCGCTCCAGCCGCTGTCAACCATAGAGATGTGACTCCAGCTGGCCCTGTCGCCGGAGGTGAGTGAGCTGCCGCGGGGCGTGAACTGAGAGGAAGTGGGGGTGGAGCGAGCTCGAGGCAAAAAGTTACTCGAGCCCGGGGATGAGGGTGGGCCTGGGCGGCGGGAACCAGTGGGACTAGGTGCTGCCGGGAGCAGGCCTGCGAGCGGCGGCCCAGCGCCTGTCAGTGGCCGCCCGCGCCTCAGTCGCTTCACCGCGCCGGACCCCGCCCGGGTCCCCGCCGCTTCCCTCTGGACCGTAATCATGACGCACCGCCCCCCGAAGGCTACAAAATGCCTTTCCCGTTTGCTGGCTGTGATCCTGCAGCCTGACATTGTGGACGCTGTCATCGCCTCCACTTTACAGATAGAAAAGCTGAGGCCCGGAGAAGCGTAGCGAGTGTGTCAATCCGAGGCCACGCGGTGAGTCGGAGTCAGAGGCAGGTGGCAATCCGGGAGGCTGGAATCATTGTTTCCCAGGCCTTCCCTGTCCCCTACTTCACCCTTCCTCTTCCTCGCTGCCCTTGCCGCAAGAATGGGCGCCTTTTCTCTTTAGAGGCCGCCGCTCGCCTTCTTGCAGGGGAGGTCTCGGGCTGCAGGGCGCTGCGTCCCCCGCGGCTCCGGAGCTCCCTCGGAGCCGGGAGGTCCCCAAGCCGCGGTAACGGGCAGTAAGTGGGGGCTGCAACTTCCAGCGTCCCTCAGGCTCTTTCTTGCTTCCTGAATCCTGCAATCCGCTGTTTTTTGTTGGTTAGTTTTGGTTGTGGATTTTTGTTACTTTGCTTTGGTTTTGGTTTTGGCTTTTTTTTTTTTTTTTTTTTTTTTTTTTGCGACAGGGTCTTGCTACGTAGTTGAGGTTGGCCTTGAACTGACCATGTAGCCTACCTAGGCTGGGGGCTGGGGATTTAGCTCAGTGGCATAAGCGCCTGCCTTGCAAGCAGGCAGTCGTGAGTTCAATCCCTGGTACCGATAAAAACGAAAAAGACAAAAAAAAAAAAAAAAAAAAAAAAAAAAAGAGCCTACCTAGGCTGGCTTCAAACTCGTGGCAATCCTCCTGCCTCACCCTGTGAGTACTGGCATTACAAACATGCACCACCAAGAGCATCCAACTGATCCACTAGGTTTTTTTCTTTTTTGTGTCAGACCTCATGCTTGCCAGGCAGGCACTGTGTTGCTGAGCTATATCCCCGACCCTGATCTGCTGTTTTAAGTAGAAAGATTCTGGAGAATAGGAAATATCAGTTCACACCTGTAATCTCTGCGACTCAGTTTCATGAAGTCATTATTGCCATTCAAATTAATTATGCAGTTTAAACGCATTTTATTTTTATTTTTTATTTTTTTGTCTTTTTCCTTTTTATCGGTACCGGGGATCGAACTCACGACTGCCTGCTTGCAAGGCAGGCGCTTATGCCGCTGAGCTAAACCCCCAGCCCCCCGCTGAGCTAAACCCCCAGCCCCAGTTTAAACGCATTTTAGCCATGTGTAGCTGGACACGCAGTTTAATTCTTACTCATTTCTCTCTTATGCTGCAGTTTGAGGCGTTTATATATAATGACCGAGATTTCTCCAGATGTGACAATTTACTGCATATCAGTTGGTTATACCCTATACCTTGGTACCAGATCCCTGGCATTATGCTGCTGCAGCTCTGTGTTTACTAGTTCTTCACTAGAATTCCTTTATGTTCATGGAAGTGATAATGTCAAGTAAATTACCCAGAGAGCTCCACATCTAGGAGAGAAACTCATAGGTAAACAGGAATGCAGTGTCACACACTGGGGCTGGGGCTATGGTACAATGCCACCAGGACTCTCGAAAAGAGAAAGAAAGCCTGCATGGTGGAAATAACATTTGTGCAGCTGCTTATAGTTAGGGATTGGTTGCCAGACAAGAGAGAGAGGGGTGAACCAGCAAGAGGCAAAAGGGAACAAGGGTGTGTAACTAAAGGAGGATGGTGAGTCTGGAGAGATGAAGATGTGTCTGGAAACCTCAGTGGAAGCCAAGTGGCAGTTGGAATGGCCTTATACCACCACTGAGGAACAGGGAGTTTGCCAAGTAGTAAAGGGAACTTTGAGATCCTTGGACCCCACCAAATTTTGATGTAGATTAAAAAAATTGAAAGGTCGGGTGTAGTATACTTACAAGACTGAGACAAGAGGATTGCCATGAGTTCGAGGCGAGTCTGGGCTACGTAGTGAGTTCAAGACCAGCCTCAACTATATAGTGAGACTATATATAGTCTCAACTATATAGTGAGACTCTGTCTCAAAAAAAAAAAATCAAGATGAGCGTATTTAATGATTTGACCAAGGCTGTTTAGTAGTGAGAAATAATCTGCGGTCTTTAATATGTTGATTCTTTCCCAATATTAACCCTTTTTAAATTTATTCTCATTTATTCTCTTTGTTCCAAACATTCTGCCATTCAAGGAAATGTCTTAGTGGGTAGGCACTGAGTGTGTATTGTGTACTAACCGTATTTTGGTTTTATTCTGCTTGGCTTGTCAGTATTTAAGAAGCCGTGGCACATAGGTCAGTAGTGATGGCAGACACTGTCTTGGACTCACAGCCAGTCAACAGCACTGGAGAGATGGATGGACTATGTCCTGAGCTATTGCTGATCCCCCCAGCTCTCTCTGACCGTGGAATCCTGGGGCCCATCCCAAGTACCTGTCCTTCTGGGGACTCTGAGCCAGGTTGCCTGCTGGTAGAAGCCACAGCTACTGAAGGCCCAGGAAATATGGAGATCATTGTGGAAACAGTACCTGGAACCTTAACCTCAGGAGCTCCTGGAGAGAGCCCAGGTATGTAGTTTCCTAGCGGGCCAGTGGGACAAGTGGCCCTGAGGTTTTGGATGTGCTAGTTTTGATCCTTCTGTATGAATGTGATGAGAACACAAGCTCATATGCTATTTTTATACTTTGAAATGTAATTGGGTTTACAGTTGGTATATGTTGATGGAAAGCTGGCAAAGTAGTATATAACTGTGTACCAAGCATTCGACAAAGCCTGTCCTACAAGTAGAAGGAAAAAAATCTACATGTAATTCATTAAAAAATAAAATCAGTGATAGTCCATTAAATAATAAATGTAGTCAATGGACATTTGCTCAATCTTACAACAATAAATTCCAGGGGTTTAGCTCAGCGGCATAAGCACCTGCCTTGCAAGCAGGCAGTCGTGAGTTCGATCCCTGGTACCGATAAAAAGGAAAAAGACCAAAAAAATAAAATAAAAAAATAGCCATGTGATACGGTTTTTCTCAGCTTTGGCAAAAAGTAAATACTTAAAAAATAATACCTAGTATTATTAGTAAGCCTGTGAGGAAATATACTGTCTTATAACTTGTGAACAATATTTAGTAACAAACTATTGAAAATTAGTTTAAGCCAGGTTTGGTGGCATACATCTGTAATCCCAGTACTCAAGAGGCTGAGGGAGGAGGATCGCCACAGATTCCAGGCCAGCCAGTGGTACATCATGAGTTCAAAGCCAAAAAATAAAAAAGAAACAAACTCAAAAAAATAAAAAGAAACAAACAAAAAAAAGCTGGGTGACTGTAATCAGAGCACTGGAGAGGCTAAGGCAGGATTGTTGGAGAGGATTGTTGCAAGTTCAAGACCAGCCTGGGTTACACAGTGAACTCAAGGCCAATTGAACTGCATAGTGATACACTGTCTCAAAAAGACCAAAAAAAAAAAAAAAAAAAAAAAAAAAAAAATCAGTTTAATTACATAGCTAATGTTACAGTATATGTACTCCAACCCAGCAATTTCACTCTAGGGATCTGTGGTAGAGAAAGGTACACATGCACACAGAGAAGGGAATGAATAGAACAGTTTTATTTGTAATGGTTAGAAATGTTTCAGCTATCAGTTTAGACCAGAATTTCATTTTGATTTATTGTTTTGTGTCTTGTATTTTGAGACAGGTTCTTGCTGTATAGCCCAGATTTGCCTTGAACTTGACTGAATGCTAACATTACTGGTGTGCACCACCACACCCAGCCCATTTTGATTTATTAATTTTCTGAAATACTATGAACTGAACAAAAAAAATGAAGTATGTCTGTGTACTCATAGACATGTCTGTGTAACAATATCTTTGATATATAGCAAGTAGAAAAGAAAAAAAAGCAGAACAGTGACCAAAAAAAAGGCCTAAGAAAAGACAGGTGCAGTGATACTTGCCCATAATCCAGCTACTCAGGAGGCTAAAGCAGGAGGATGACCCAGGAGCTTGTGGCCTTCTGGACAACATAACAATTCCCTAGTGTAATACAGACCAGACTGTTTGTGTGAGAGTGGCAGTTAATACTTCTGTATCATTTGAATTATTGCATAGAACTTTTCAAAATTTTCGTTTCAGCAAAATATTGCCTTTTCTAATGCTTTCTGGATTTTATTAATGATTGTTCATTCATTAAACACCTATCTTGTGCTAGATATTTTGCTAGACACTAGGAACCAATGCCAGACCATCGCTGACCTGTGGGCTTACAGTCTGGTGCAGAGCCAGATTTGAAGTCCACCCACACTCTTTGAATAAGAAAAGGCTCATCTTCATTTCTACTAGTAACTCCTACAGCCTCCTTCCGTCTGATTCTCTGCCTTTCTGTTGGTCCTCTGCCTGCAGGTGTCCTGGTAAAGGTGGTGGAGGTATACTTCTGTGAGCGCTGTGAGCAGAGCTTCGCAGAGCCTGCTCTGCTGTCCCTGCACCAGTGTACTGAGACCCATGTACAGCCTGTGCAGGGGCTCTCTAGCACCCTGCGCTCCATAAAGCTGCCCACCAGCAACTTCACCCTCCACGGTCCTCTGCAGGGCAAGAGCCCAGCAGATAGCCCCCTGCCATGTCCTGTATGTAGACAGGAGTTTGCCCAACCACAGGCCCTGAAGAACCACTTCAAGATTCACCGGGCTGCTCCTGACACCTTCTCCTGCCCTGAGTCTGGCTGTGTGTTCTCTGCTGAGGATCGTAAGGGTTTGCAGCACCACCTGAGGCAGACCCACGGAGCAGTTCCTGTGCCATGTTCTTTCCGAGGCTGCCCACTGCTTTTTGGGAGCCAGCAGGGCATGGAGTTGCACCGACACACCCATTACCCCTTCCACTGCACCCATTGCAGCTTCATGGGTTCCAATATCAAACTCTTCCGGCAGCATCAGCGAAGCCATGGGCCTGGGACACAGGGAGAACTTTCTGCTGTCCAGGGACTCCCATCCCAGGAGCAACTGCCAGGTATGAGACCCAGTCCCCTACCTGGGATGTAGCAGTTGATCTTACAGGACAGACATTCGTTTCCAGGACCATGATTGTGCATGAGTATTGAGAAGGCTAGAGAGTAATTTAGGACAGAATTACTGGATGGGATCAGAAGGCATCTAGAAACCTTGAGCCAGTCAGGATATTTGGGACACAGAATAAGTCTTTGTCCATGACACTGAGTGACATATGACTTACACTGTATGTGGCCTGAAGTTACTTAAGCAACATTCTCTACTGACTCATTGTAGGACTTGACTTTATGAGGGCAGAAGTAAAAGTGAGTGGTATACAAAATGCTTAGCCTCCCCTTAGAGCAAGAGGGATTGGGCAGGAAAAGCTGGGATTATTCTAAAAGGAAACCTTCCAGGGAGGTGGTGCTTTATTGATTCTTACTCCTCTTGGTCTCAGAAAACAACAAATACCCCAGCAAGGGGTGAGTGAGTAGAAGAGCAGGAGGAACAAAGAAAACAGGCCAGAAGAAGACAGCATTGTGATGAAAGAACTTGGCTTGCTGAGACCTACTTGAGCTCTTATTCCTAAAGGGAAGATCTTTTTCCTGGAAACTAGTCATACCTCTTTGCCTTACCAAGGCAGCTATTGGAGGGTAAAAGATAGATTTGAGGGGTAAGGTGTGACACTGGCTACTGAGATAGGCTTCTCAGAAGAATGGTTGAGCAATCAGAGTGTGTTCACCTGCCCTGAATGAGCTGAGTCACTCGCCCTGGGAGCCTGGGCCACCAAAGTGCAGTCTGCTTTCCTCTACCTCTCAGACCTACCCCTGTCCCAGTGGCCTTAAAGCTGACACCTGAAAGAGGCTCTGGCTAGTGTTTTCTGAGGTTTGATTTACTTTAGACTGAATCGTTATGGATAGCTTAGCTCCTGGTCCTCATTCTTGAGTGGGAATACATTTATTTACATAAGACCCAAGATTTCCTTCTACTAAAAGAGGAGGAGGATGATTCTACTAGCCAGTGAATGGAAAAGTTCATGCTTTCAGTCATTGACTGTCTGAACTTCATCAAGATTTATGTATCTCCAGCTCCCAAACTGCCTCCAGCAAAGGGAGACCCTTTGGAAGAAGCTGGTCCATCTTTGCCTGGGCAGGAGTCAGCTGAGGAGGAAGAATTAGAAGAAAAGGAGGAGACTGGCACCCAGAAAGACCCCCAGAAAGCCTTAGATAAAGGCCAGCAGGCTCAGCAGTTGGAAGGTAATGACATTACTAGGTGAATGGGAAAGATGCATAGCAGAGTATGTAGCATTGAAGCTCTCAGCCCTGGTTTTCCACCTTTGGTTCAAATCCTTCCATTCTTTCTGTTCCACCTTGACTCAAGTCATGGTTTACCAGGTTTGATGGCACATGCTGTAATCCTAGTTACTGAGGAGGCTGAAACAGGAGAATCACTTAAGCAGAAGAGTTCAAGACTGGCATAGGCTAAAAGATCTTGTCTCAAAAAAAAAAGAGCTGGGGATTTAGCTCAGTGGCCTAAGTACCTGCTTGGCAAGCGTGAGGTTGTGAGTTCGATCCCTGGTACCAAAAAAATTTAAAAAAAGAAAGAAAGAAATCACCTGCATAATACCAGCACTCTGGGAAGCTGAAGCAGAAAGGTCGTAAGTTTGAGCCCAGCCCAGGCAAATTAGCAAAACCCTGTCTCAAAATTTTAAAAATTTAAAAAGAACTAGGGATGTAGCTCAGTGCATTGAGCCTAGGTTCAATCCCCAGTAACACCAAAAAAGAAAAGAGGTCAAGATGTGGTAGGTCCTGTAATCCCAGCACTCAGGAAGCTGAGGCAGGAGGATTGCCACAAGTTTGAGGCCAGCCCTGGCTCTGTAATGAGATCAAGGCCAGCCTAGACCCTATCTCAAAAGAACTTTAAAAAAAAAAAAAAAAAAAGATTTGTTTGGTCAAGATACTGGTCACAGGGGGTCAGGATAGATTTTTCTCATTTCTTTTAGGGCACTTTTCCCTCTAACCAACCCGACTGATCCAGCACAAGGGCTGCAAGAGAACAATACTGCATCCAGATCATTTTCCTGAGCTCCAAACAGAAGTTCAGGAACAGTGGGTGACTTGGGGAAACACTTCAGACAGGCCACAACAAAGTCTGAGAAGCCTTTGGTTTCTCTTGAGTTTCTCTTCTTTCTTGAGATTAGAGTTTTGAGGCTGTTGTTTTGTTTCCTTAAGAGGAAAGCCACACAGTGTTTGTGTCTGGCAAGATTGTAGCTCTCGCGTTGTTTGGCCTGCCCTGACCTGCTGATGATCTCGCTTCTGACCTTGTGTATTCTCTTTCCTCAGGAGATGTGTCTTCTGGTCCCGAGTCTCTCTTCAAGACACACATGTGTCCTGAGTGCAAGCGCTGCTTTAAGAAGCGGACCCACCTAGTGGAACACCTGCATCTCCACTTCCCAGATCCCAGCCTTCAGTGCCCCAACTGCCAGAAGTTCTTCACCAGCAAGAGCAAATTGAAGACCCATCTACTTCGGGAGCTGGGCGAGAAGACCCACCGCTGCCCGCTGTGCCACTATAGTGCAGTGGAGAAGAATGCACTCAACCGCCACATGGCCAGCATGCACGAGGACATTTCCAACTTTTACTCAGACACCTATGTCTGTCCTGTGTGCCGCGAGGAGTTCCGCCTCAGCCAGGCCCTCAAGGAGCACCTCAAGAACCACACAGCAGCGGCTGCAGCAGAGCCGTCTCGTCTACCCTGCTTTCAGGAGGGCTGCAGCTATGCAGCCCCTGACCGCAAGGTGTTCATAAAGCACCTGAAGGACATCCACGGGGTGCGGGCCGTGGAGTGCCGCCATCACTCATGTCCCATGCTCTTTGCCACAGTTGAAGCAATGGAGGCCCACCACAAAAGCCACTATGCCTTCCACTGCCCACACTGTGACTTTGCCTGCTCCAACAAACACTTGTTCCGCAAGCACAAGAAGCAAGGTCACCCGGGCAGTGAGGAGCTGCGCTGCACCTTCTGCCCCTTTGCCACTTTCAACCCGGTATCCTACCAGGACCATGTAGGCAAGATGCATGCTCATGAGAAGATCCACCAGTGCCCCGAGTGCAGCTTTGCCACTGCCCACAAGAGGGTGCTCATCCGACACATGCTGCTGCATACTGGTGAGATGACTTCCGTCTTCATGGTAACATAGTCCCAGCCACAGTGCTGATGACAGCTAACATGATGACAGCCAACATATGTCTGCCAGACATCACATGCAGGGCCTTACATGCATTCATGCCTGGACACAGATCTAGTATCCCGGGTTTACAAATGAGTCATAAGCTGAATGTCATTCACTTAAGAAAGTGGTCAAGTTAGGATCTAAACCCAAGTACTAGTATTCCAGAGCCTGTACTCTAAGTGATATGCTGTTGGTCCTTACCTTTAAGCCTCTGTCCAGCTCTGCCTACCTATAGTCAGGTGGGTGGTTGAATATGTCTCCTATTAAGAGTGAAGAAGCCCAGGTGAGGACAGATACTTTCGTTTACAATTCAAGTGTGGGGATGTGCCTTGAGAGATAGGAGCTGAGGGGACTGAGACTCGAGTGCGTATTTGGCAGTCCGCAGCTGTCATGTCCATGGTATGACATGGAAACACGATCCTTTCCAGTGACCTACAAGGTGCACTCATTTCAACTCAAACTTTTCTTTTTTCCTTGGTGCTAGTTCTGTGCATACTAAGACAAGCACTGTACCACTAAGCTACAGCCTCAGGATTTATTTTATTTTGTTTTATTTTATTTTTGAGATAGAGTCTAAGTTCCCTAGGCTGGCTTCAAGTTTTTTGTTCCTCCTGCCTTAGCTCTGGAGTAGCAGGATTATAGGCATATGCCATCACACTTTAGCTTCTTAGTTGATTGTCAGCATCACTGAGGTTTTAAGTAATAACAGAATGAGGCTTTCTGCCATAGCACCATCCCCTTTGTGATCTATATAAACATCAGTGGAGCTGGGCATGGGGGCACACGCCTGTAATCCCAGCACTCAGGAGGCTGAGGTAGGAGGATTGTTGTGAGCTCAAGGCCAGCCTGAACTGCATAGTCATTTTTATCTCAAAAAGACAAAAACAAAATAAATATCAATGGGTTGACGAGAAGTTTAAAAAGTATTTTCATAAGAGCTCATTTGGGATAACAACTTTTAGACAGTTTTGGGCAAAGCCATTATTCCTGATGAACTATGCATTTCTGTACATGATTTAGCCTCATTTTTAATACTTTGTGTCTATATAGTTACACAATTTTCATTTTTATTTGTTTAATCCATGACAGGCTTATAAGGCAGGGAAACATAAGAAGTAACAAACTCTGAAAAGTTAAATTTAGCTGGGGGTTTAGCTCAGAGGCATAAGCGCCTGCCTTGCAAGCAGGCAGTCGTGAGTTTGATCCCCAGTACCGAAAAAAAGGAAAAAGACAAAAAAAAAAAAAAAAAAAGATCACACAGCAAGTTAGAACCAGAGTGCCATGTTGTTGCTGCAAGAAGGGGCTGGGTGAACCGGGAGGGGTCCTGAAGGAACACAGCCCACAGCATTTTAGAGCCAGGGTATTTGTTGTTTGGTTTTGTTTCAGTTTGTGGTACTGAGGTTGAGTCTAGGGCCTCTGCATTGAGCTACACCCTTGGCCCTTATTGAAGTTTTTTTATTCAGAGACAGATTCTTACTGAGTTGTCTAGGCTGGTCCCCAACTTGCAGTCTTCCTGCCCCAGTCTCCCAGAGTTAGTGCCAGGTGTTGATAACTACTTGGACAACTCATCCTTAGTTACACTGGTCATCACCAGCAACTTCAGGATAGCTCATTTAATGTTCACACCATCCGTGTGAAGTCAGTACTTTTCTTTCTCCTTTTTTGGAGACAGACTGCTGAAAGCTAGCAGGTATGAGGCACCACTCACCAGATTTCTCTGTGCCTGAGTTTTCTTGTCAAAACAGTGAGGGTAGTGATGGCACCTACTTTATGGTATCCAATGAAAGGAGGTATTTTTCTAAAATACTCAGGGGACAGTATTTAGCATTACGTATATAAATATTGTCAATTCTTACTATAATGGAATCCAGAGTTAAAATTCTTTTTTTTTTTTTTGTCTTTTTTCGTTTTTACTGGTACCGGGGATTGAACTCACGACTGCCTGCTTACAAGGCAGGCACTTATGCCGCTGAGCTAAATCCCCAACCCCCAGAATTAAAATTTTTAACCACCATGTTTGGTTGCCTAATTCCTCTGTTCCAGAAAACTGGAAAAAATTGGGCAAAATGGAACAGTTGCACATCAGAACCAACGAGCTGTATAACAAATCGAGAGTGTACTTTAGATCAAGTTCTGAAAAGCTCAGTGATTACTTTCCTGCTCTCCTCATTGGTGTTGCAAGTTGGGAGAGTGGTTATCTGAGAGGGCTGTGAAGAACTTTGATTACTGCAAAGTTTTCCACATCTCAGCCTGTGAAGCTTTTGTTCCCATCTTACATCAGGACAGCCTTGCTGGAGACACTGCTCTGGCCACTTGCTGGATTTGTGTCTGACTGTGCCCTTTCTCCTCTCGACCCACCCCCACATAAGGTGAGAAACCTCACAAGTGTGAGCTGTGTGACTTTACCTGCCGAGACGTGAGCTACCTGTCCAAGCACATGCTGACCCACTCCAACACCAAGGATTACATGTGCACCGAATGTGGCTATGTTACCAAGTGGAAGCATTACCTCAGTGTGCACATGAGAAAACACGCAGGTGACCTCAGGTATGAGCAGACATATGCCTGCATCCTTATCCTGAGACCCCTTGTCAAGGTAGCCTCCTTCTGGGTCCAGCGTCTGGCCCTCACACACTCGGTTTCATTGCCTGCAGCTGGCCTCAACTTGTGACCCACTCCTCATGTTGAGATCGATCTAGGCCAGAGGGAGGGAATACAAACCTAGAGGGTAGACCTGAAGACTAAGATGCTACTTGGGTTCACAGAGTTTGGTCGGGAATATGGGTAGAATCTTTACTTGTGACACCTGTCCTGGCCACTTCTAACTCTAGGAAGGTTCTCTGACCTGTGGGTACTGCTGAGTAGGACGTTTCTCTACAGATTTCTTGCCTCTGTGGGAGAATGAAGATCAGACATGAACCTAGCTTGTAGATATAGCCTTGTCACCTCCTTAGCAGTAATACGTAATGCTGACTCATGATTCCTTCACAAGTTAGAGTGCTGGCCCTGAGGCTAGGCTGTCTGCCCCTCAACTTTGGAACTATCCTATTATCCCTGTGCCTTGGCCTTGATTATAAAATAGAATTGCCTATTTCATTGGGTAGTGGAAAGGGAAGTTAAATTAAACAATGCCTGAGTGTACAGCCTGGCCCGAAATGTTTATTCAGTGACTGTTCACTGTGCAATTATTGTGATTGCCTCTCTCTGTCCCTCCTTGCCAGGTACCAGTGCAACCAGTGCTCCTATCGCTGCCATCGGGCTGATCAGCTGAGCAGCCACAAGCTGCGACACCAGGGCAAGTCCCTGATGTGTGAGGTGTGCGCCTTTGCCTGCAAGAGGAAGTATGAGCTACAGAAACACATGGCTTCCCAGCACCACCCTGGCACACCAGCCCCACTCTACCCCTGCCGCTATTGCAGCTACCAGAGCCGCCACAAACAGGCTCTGCTGAGCCATGAGAACTGCAAGCACACCCATCTCCGTGAGTTCCGCTGTGCCCTCTGTGACTACTGCACCTTCAGCAACACCACTCTCTTCTTCCACAAGCGTAAGGCCCATGGCTACGTGCCTGGGGACCAGGTCTGGCAGCTTCGTGATGCTAGCCAAGAGCCAGAAGGGGCCAGACAGTGCTTGGCACCCGCACCAGACTCAGAGTCCTCAAGCCAGCTGTCTGCCCAGGCTGAGGGCCCCAGCCACGAACCTGGGACTGTGGTGGATCCCAGCTTAGACCAGGCCCTGCCGGACATCAGTGAGGAGGGTAGCACCAGGAGACAGGATGACAGCGAGGTCCTCCATGGGGATGAACTGGTCGGCAGTCCCAGCCCAGCAGAAGTGGAGGAGGGCAGCTGTACACTGCACTTAGAGGCCCTGGGAGTGGAGCTGGACCCTGTGGCTCAGCCACCCCTTGAACTCAGTGAAACAGTCCCTCTGGTGTTGAAGCCCCTGGATTCCTCTGGACCGCTGGAACTGGAAGGGCCAATGGCATCCAGCTTTGAAGGTGTTGGGACTGCTGGCTTGGGTGCTGAAGAACCTGTTCTGGAGAAACCAGTCCCTGAGCCCCCCAGAACTGCTCTATCCTCAGAGGAGGTCCCTAACAGCTGGATAGAAAACTTCAAGGCAACTCCATCTGCTGAGATGGCACCCTCGCCTCCATTTCCTGAGTCAGAGTCACTACTCAAGGCTCTGAGGAGACGGGACAAAGAACAAGCAGAAGCATTGGTGCTGGAGGGGCGGGTGCAGATGGTAGTGATCCAGGGAGAGGGCCAAGCCTTCCGCTGCCCACACTGCCCTTTTATCACTCGCCGGGAAAAAGCCCTAAAGCTGCACTCTAGAACAGGATGCCAGGGCCGTCGGGAGCCCTTGCTGTGCCCTGAGTGTGGGGCTAGCTTTAAGCAGCAACGTGGCCTCAGCACCCACCTACTCAAGAAGTGCCCTGTTCTGCTTAGAAAAAACAAAGGCTTGCCCAGACCAGATTCTCCCATCCCTGTGCCCCCTCAGCACTTGGGCACACAGGCTTCTGAGGATGCGGAAGGCAGGAAGCCCTCTCCTGCACCTCTGGAAGAAGAGCTACTGTTTCCAAAAGATGCTCTTTCCAAGCTTCCCAGGGGGCCAGGAGGAGGAGCAGAGCCTCTCACCACGCCCTCTGACTTCCTGGCCCTTTCTGCAGGGAGCTCCTCACCCACAGAGACCCTTGAGAAGTTCCACTTTGAGCAGGGCAAGTTTCATTGCAACTCCTGCACCTTCCTTTGCTCCCGGCTCTCCTCTATTACCTCTCATGTGGCCGAAGGCTGCCGGGGAGGGCGTGGCCGGGGAGGAAAGCAGGGGACCTACCTGAGCAACGGGAGCTCTGCTCCCCTGAGTGATGAAAGTGGAAGTATTGAGCTCAGCCCTGGAGATGGGGTCACAGCTTCAGCAGCTCAGAAACAAAATGTGACCCTCTTTTCCTGCCCCACGTGTTCCTTCAGCTGCCAGCAGGAACGAGCCCTGAGGACTCACCAGACCCAGGGCTGTCCCCTTGGGCAGTCTGGAGAGTTGCAGTGTGACCTCTGTCCATTCACTGCCCCCACAGCTGCTGCCCTGGGACTCCACCAGAAGCAGAAGCATCCCGCTGCAGCCCTAGCCCGCGGCCCAAGGCCCTCTCTACAGTGTGGGGATTGTGGCTTCACCTGTAAACAGAGCCGATGCCTGCAGCAGCACCGGCGGCTTAAGCATGAGGGCGTGAAGCCGCATCAGTGCCCTTTTTGTGACTTTTCCACCACCAGGCGCTATCGGTTAGAAGCTCACCAGTCCCGACACACGGGCATTGGCCGCATCCCATGCAGCTCCTGCTCTCAGACATTTGGTACCAACTCAAAACTGCGCTTGCACCGGCTAAGAGTACATGACAAGACACCCACTCACTTTTGCCCACTCTGTGACTATAGTGGCTATCTTCGCCACGACATCACTCGCCATGTCAACAGCTGCCACCAAGGCACCCCAGCCTTTGCCTGCTCCCAGTGTGATGCGCAGTTCAGCTCAGAGACAGCACTGAAGCAACATGCTCTACGCCGACACCCTGAGCCCACACACTCTGCTCCTGGCTCCCCTGCCGAGGCCACTGAAGGACCTCTGCAGTGCTCCCACTGTGGGCTGCTCTGCCCCAGCCCTGCCAGCCTTCGAGGACACACCCGTAAACAGCACCCACGGCTGGAGTGTGGGGCTTGCCAGGAGGCCTTCCCTAGCCGGCCTGCATTGGATGAGCATCGGAGGCAGCAGCATTTCAGCCACCGCTGCCAGCTGTGTGACTTTGCTGCCCGGGAGCGAGTGGGCTTGGTAAAGCACTACCTGGAACAGCATGAGGAGACTTCAGCAGCGACAGCGGCTTCCAATGGGGATGGAGACACTGGCCAGCCTCCTTTGCACTGTCCTTTTTGTGACTTTGCATGTCACCATCAGCTGGTGCTAGATCACCATGTGAAAGGGCATGGAGGCACCCGACTCTACAAATGTACAGACTGTGCTTACAGCACCAAGAACCGGCAGAAAATCACCTGGCACAGCCGTATCCACACAGGGGAAAAGCCTTACCGCTGTCACCTCTGCTCCTATGCCTGTGCTGATCCCTCTCGCCTCAAGGTAAGGTCAGGGGCCCTGGGGCAGGGAATGGAGAATGCGTAGGCTCTGGGTCCTCTAACCCTGACTCTTCCAAATATTCCGTGACTTTGGACAAGTTCTTTCTCTAAGGCTCCAGGCTGGGGATTTAGCTCAGCGACATAAGTGCCTGCCTGGCAAACATAAGGTTGTCAGTTCGATTCCTGGTACCAAAAAAAAAAAAAAAAATTATATTGGCTTAAATCTAAGGCTCATATCCCTCACCTGTAAGAAGGGGATAATACCAACTTCAGAGAATCATACAGATAAAATTCCATAATACTACATGTTTACCATTGATAAAGGCATACAATTTGAGGATATTCTAGATAATAACAGCTAACATTTAATGAACACTTACTGTATACTCAGCACTGTAATTTTAATTCTTTTAAAGATAATAATTCCAGCACTCAGGAAGCTGAAGCAGAAAGATCCCTGCAAGTTCAAAGCTAGCCTGGGCTACAAAGTGAGTTTGAGGCCAGCATGAACTGCATAGTGAAACCCTGTCTCAAAAAAAAAAGGATAAGAGATAGGGATACCTTTTTCTGCTTTCCATTTTACAGATTACTGACAGTTCAGGCTTAGCTCACCCAAGAACATAGCTAAGAAGCAGCAGAGCTGAGACAGGGCAGACCTAGGAAGAGGCTGAATGGGTTAGGTAAAGTGGCTGTCCTGGAGGACCTAGTTGATAATGTATGTGTAGATAGAATGGGAGCTGGGAGCAGGATTACCTGCCTGCTCACCCCTACTTCCCCATCCAGTGAATACCATGGGATGGACATGTTGTGTTGGCTTTTTGTTTTTCTCTGGTTAGTACCACATGCGGATCCATAAGGAGGAACGGAAGTACCTATGCCCTGAGTGTGGTTACAAGTGCAAGTGGGTCAACCAGCTCAAGTACCACATGACCAAGCACACAGGTGAGGCCTAAAGTATTCCTCTGATCTCTGGTAAGCCTGACCTCACTGAAGTGACGCATGTCCGTGCTCAGATTCAGAGCAACATCAGTTTCACACTGGAGTCAGAGGGCAGGCTTGTATCATATGCCTTCCCAATTCACTAATACTATCAGAAACAGAGGAGGACTAAATCTGAGGGCTCCTGGATACTGCAAAAGCTTCCCAGGTGGTTGTGGTACAGGAGTGTTATCCCCACTGAGAACCTCAATTCAGACTTCAGTGAGATCAGGTCTGCCTGGCTCCTGTACTCTTATTGTAAGTATGGAGGAGAAAGTGGAAAGTTTCCCTGTTCTAATTTGCCTTTATCCTCTCCAGGCATGGAATCTACAAACTAGAGGTTCTCTGAAAAGGGCTAATGATTATGTGCCTGTGGTTACTGCATGTGCTTGCCCACATGTAGACCTACTCAGGTACATTTCAAGACCCTCTGCTTCTATGAATGCTGCTGCTTTTATCTTTTTTTTTTTCCCCCCTTTGGTACTGGGGATCAAACTCACAACCTTTTGCCTGATAGGCACTGTGCCACTGAGCTATATCCCCGACCCTGCTTCTTTTATCTTGACTACTCTCTTAAGCATTCTTTTCCTTTTTGATTTGAACAAGGGGTTCTGTTTAAATGAATTCCTAAATTCTATGAATATCTTGTGATCCAAAGAGAGTTGAAATTTCCCATTTGATAGCTATCATATTTGAGCCTCATTCCTATCAGGCAAGTAAATTAGTGGTCACATAGTCATTAGCACCCACAGGACATCTATGTCAGTGAAGGCTGTGTTGAGAGGACATAGAAATATCACCCGAGACTAGAGCATTCCAGGATATGGTCCTTATATAGCTTGCTGCTTGTGTTCTTTATATGCCCTACGGCCTGCCACACTTTATCCTACCCCACCTCAGTGATGATTATTTCCCTGTGCTATAGGACTGAAACCATACCAGTGTCCTGAGTGTGAGTACTGCACCAACCGGGCTGATGCACTGCGTGTGCACCGGGAGACGCGACATCGGGAAGCACGGGCTTTCATGTGTGAGCAGTGCGGCAAGGCCTTCAAGACGCGCTTCCTGCTGCGCACCCACCTTCGCAAGCACAGTGAAGCCAAACCTTATGTGTGTAATGTGTGCCACCGTGCTTTCCGCTGGGCTGCCGGTCTGCGCCATCATGCCCTCACCCATACTGACCGCCACCCCTTCTTCTGCCGGCTGTGCAGCTACAAGGCCAAGCAGAAGTTCCAGGTGGTCAAGCATGTGCGAAGGCACCACCCTGACCAGGCTGACCCGCACCAGGGTGTGGGCAAAGACCCCACCACCCCTACCGTGCATCTGCATGATGTGAAGCTGGAGGACCCCAACCCTCCTGCTCCTGCCACTCCCTCCACTGGACCTGAGGGTTGAGCCTAGCCTGCCTCCCAGACAGGAGCTGATGATGGCCAAAGATGGGGGTCAGAGCTAGCTTGAGGAGCTCAGGGCCTAAGAAAAAACTGGCTTTGAGGCCTCAGTGTAACTGTAACCCCTGTGAGACTCTTGTAGTACTTTGAAATTAATGGCTATATAAAAGAAAGACACAGACCAAAACACTGACTTCTTGAAATCACTATATTTTTAACCTGTGGATTTCCAGTTTCTTCACCATCACTCTACCAGGGTCCTTGTATATAAGGTCCTGATCTTATCTACTCCATCTTCCCTTTCCTTCTTACTGTATCAAGTCTTGTTTTCTTTCAGCATCTTTAAATAAGTTGTACCTAACTGCATGTGCTGTTGTGCCCAATGCTCTATAAAGCATGTTAAACAGAACTACCAGCTATGGACTTATCCAGCTCCCTGTCTTAACTTTTCCAGCTGTCGTCTTGATCTGCCCATCCCTTCCTAGATCTCTGCTCTTCCCTGTTTCTTCCAGCTTAAGTTGGAGCTAGATCTGGAAGAGACTCCAGTCTGCTTCTCTCTGACCTTGAGGCTGTCCTCACCCTTGCCTTTCTCTCTACTTCCCGGCTCCTATGCCTGTATGAGGAGAACTGCCACCCACTAAACCTCTTCCGAGAAGTTGCTTTAGTTCAGCATCAGTCCTCAGACTGGCTCAGCAACTGCACTAAGGAATGAAAGCACAATGGTAATGCGAAAGGCAGGCAACTGGGGAGGTAAATCTTCATGCGTTTTCACATATAATTCTGAGTGCCTTACTGTGTAATTGATCCTTTGACACTGGGAACACTAAAGAAAATGCTATTAATAATTATGCTTACACAGTCATAAACCAAGACTGTTCCAGGGAAACTCTCTAAGAGGGCTGTGACCACATAAACTATTGTCTCCTTTTGTTGTGCCCCTTAGAAACCTCTTCTACATCCTTCCTATGTAGTACATGCAGGAAGCACCTGGAAACCTCACTTCTCTATCTTCCCCATGCCAACAAAGTACCCAAATGTCTCCCAACCCTTGTACCTCCCCTTCTTCCCTAACAATCAATGACAGACCATACAGGAGCCAAATTTGGAGAAAAACTCTATACCAGGGGCTAAGGAGGAGCCATGCAGTGGGGACTCGGCTGTGCAGTATTCTCTGAAGAGTCGGTACAGTGTCAGGTCAGGTCTCGCCCAGCCTTTGCCTGGGGAGTTTTGATCCTTGATTTATCCTTCCCTTGGCTCTGGGCTTTGAGGAAGTTAGGATGGAAAGGATAATACAGCTGTGCGTTTCTGTACTCCAGGCCCCTCTAGGTTTCCAGCAACCATCTGCCTTCACACCAGCATTGATGGAAGAGATTAGTGATGGGTCTGAATATGAGACTGAGCCTATAGTAATGGGAAGGAGGAATTCCAGCAGAGTGCACAAAGACGAAGCGCACGAAAGATACTGAAAGGCTTGTGAAAAGAGAAGGGAAGAGAAAAAAAAGTGAAAGTCCTAGATTTGTTTGTTAAGAAGGGCAAGGTAATTTTGTGCCTGGCAGTGCCCAATCTTGAGTTTTTTACCACCTCCATTTGCTCTCTGGAACAGTTCTTCAGGTTTTTCTTGCTATCTAAACCAGCACCCATCCTTCCTGAAGTACCCACCTCAGGATTCAGTCTCTGGCTCTTCCCGGATGGAGATGTGCACAAAGATGGAAGCTGGATGGAGGCTGGTGCCATCCCTGGAGAGCAAGTGTATGTGGCGGTAACCTGGAAAGACGCAAAAGGACAGTCTTCAGGCTGTCAGAGCTGACATGTTGGCCAGGAGTCCAAGAACCATCTCACCTTGTTGCATGCAGGTCCATGGCAGAGTAAACTGGCCAATGAAGTCGTTTCGGGATTTCCAGTCATAATCCTTTACCACAAAACGCAGCATAGCAAGTTCTGGCACCAGGACCCGGAAGGACAGTGTCTGTCCCCAGTATGGATTAAAGCCTGAGGTGGGAGTAGAAAGGAGCAAAGGACCAGTCCTCATCTTCTGCAGCTGCCCATACTGAGTTGTTCTCCCTGTGTTCTCATTTCATTTAGATGGCAGTCAGTGTGTCACAGTGAAGAAACAGGCTCCAAATGTGTAAAGCGTTTTCCCAAAGTACTGGAACCTGGCTAGGGCTAGGTATCGGTGCTGTGCCACAGTGTCTCCACTGAGACACAGCAGTGAGCAGTGATGTGACCTGTACTAAATGGAGGGCAGGACAGAAGGGAGACTGTCATCAGGTTCCCACCACCTCGTTCCCCAGCAGTACCCAGTCTCTCACCGTTGTTCTCCACATAGCTGGTCTCTTGCCGGGCTGTGTCTGCAGGGATACCAAAGACCTCCACTTTGACCAGTGGATCCACAATGGACTTCTCTTTGGTGTTGTTCACCTTGGGGAGTTGCTGACCACTGATTACCTGCAACGAGGTCACTGGAACCTCAGTCCAGCCCCCACTCGGCTTTCACCCCAGGGAAAAGACACAGGACCTTGCACTATCACTTCTGGTTTACAAAACTAATCCTCCATGGGTTATGTATTTTCACACTCAACTGCAGTTTTAAGTGTACTAGAAGTTAAGAAGGTTTGGAAGTAGCCATGCAAATGGCTCTACACAGCCTCTTTCTATGTAACCAGAAATTGCAAGCAGCCCTGGGGGGTAGACAGTGGTGGTACCCCCATTTTTCAGGCAAACATGCAGGTACTGAGAGGTGAAGCAACTTATCCAATGTTACATAACTGGGACACAGATGTGAAGCTTGGCTCCAAAGCCAGACAATTAGGCTATCCTGCCCCTCCAGAATTTTCAGCCAGTTACACTCCTGTGGGGCCTTGCTGCCTCTTCCCCACTTCCATTCCAGCCACTTCCGGTTTTCCCATCACTTTCTCTTCCCATCATACCTGGATTGTTAGGATCTGAGCCTTATAAGGACTGATGGGCCTTTCGGGGTGGAAGAAAGTCTGGGCATCACGCAGGAAATCTGGCTTCAGCACATAACCACAGACACCATTCTGGCGGAAGAACCCATCACAGATGTCCATTTCAAGCCCTGCAGTCTGCATATTCATAGCCACTGAGGGTTCCAGGAGAAAAAAGGGAAAATTCACATTGGGGGCCTACCACCCCACCTTCATAGATAGAATGTCGCTCACCCTGCTACTCACTCAAGCATTCACTGGTCTTACTTCTACCGAGGAACTTATCTTCCAACAGTTCCGCTCCACCCCTGTCCCCTCCCTGTCCCTGTGGCCTGCACACCCATCTGGCAGCCTGCGTTCCAGAGCTCCTGAGGATTGTAATTGGATGAGTCTGTCCTCAGCCCACTGGGATACACTCGGCTCAACTGCCAGGTATTGTGCTGCACAAACTCATTGCCTGTAAAGAGTACGGGATGGAGATGAAAGTGGGGTGGATCCACCCACTTCCTCCGCCCCCAAGGAGCCTGCCCACACATTCACTGCTGGGACAACTGAGGCTGCTCCAGCCATCCCATCTCCCCCACTTTTCCTCTCCTGCTGTCCAGTGTCCACTGTTCTCCACTCCCCTCCCTCTGATCCTCTGAGGAGTTTCTCAGCTTCTTTACTCCTCCCTAGCTCTCTTGTTCTCTTTCTTAGAACTTACCTTCCTGCCCGTCAGGTGTGAGCCTACCCAACCCACTTCCCTCCCTGCCCTTCCACTTTGGTCCTGACCAGCCTCCTTGATAAGGTTCCTGGCCTTGCTTTCAGAGAATGATGATGTCTCATAGAAGCGGTAGTGCTCCTTCGAGTGTGAGAAGCTGTGGAATGGGACAGACTTCAAGGAGACCAGGGCAGAGAGGGCTGGACACAAGATGGGCTTGAGTTTCTGGGGGAGAAAGTAGAGAGGGAGATGGAACTGAGTCCTCAGCAGCCTGCGAAGAAGAAGCTGACAGCCACTGAACCTGAGCCTCTGCCTACTGCCTCCCCACTCCCCTCCTGCCTCACCTGCAAAGGCAAGAGAAGCAACCCAGGACCAGGATCGAGAGTAGGATGCTGGGTCCTAGTCTAACAACAGACCAGTGGACAAAACAGCAAGCACTCCACAACCTGGGGTGGGGGTGGGAAACAAGACATTCTGCACGCTGTGCTGGTGGGCTTCAGCCTGGAGGGTCTATCTGGTCACGCTTGGGGAACAAGCATTTACATTGTTGTTAAACACAGAAGCATCATCCTCCCTACTTTTTTTTCTTGGTGGTGGTTGGGAGAGCATGTAGTATTTTGTTTGATTTGGTTTAGTTTGCTTTGAGACAAGATCTCAGTATGTAGTTCAGGGTGGCCTTGAAATATGTAGACCAGGCTGGTCCCAGGCTCCCAGCAATCCTCCTGCCTTGTAGCCTGAGTGCTGGGATTATAGGCCTACTTCTCTTTTAAAACAATGTGAACAATAACCTTTGATCAAAATGTTAATGAAGGGCGGGGGATGTAGCTCAGCAGGTACCTTCCTGGCAAGTGCAAAGCCCTGGGTTCAATTTCCCAATACTGGAAAAAAAAAGAATCTCATTCTGTTTTGATCAGGGATGTAGCTCACTGGCACAGCATTTGCCTGGCAAGTCTGAGGTCATGAGTTTGATTCCCAGTGCCCCCCCCCCGATGTTCAGGAATCCAGATATGTCAAGATAAGTCACAGAATCCACACCTGTAAGAATCGCAGAGTAAAATATATTTGCATTTGTCTCCTGAGTTCCCATTTCCAGCCCTGGACACAGCAGCAGGTTAAACACCAGAGAGAACAGGGTAAGCTAGAAGGCAGCTGAGTGAGCCAAGCAAGTGCACAGGAGACAATGCACACATCACACCCCCCGACTGGAGAGGTGCAACCAAGGGCACCCCTTCTCTCTCAGCCTCCTCCTTCCCTGTGGGGGACAGACCATGCTGGCGTGGCCTTCTCAAGGGTTCAGCTTCCCTACTTCAAGCTTCTTTCCTTTTCATCTCTGGCTATTTCTGGCCCTCCTCAAACTCAGATTTCACTCTTTCCAGGAAAGAAGCTTTCTCTAGCTATGCCCTCTAAGGTCAAGGTCACAGCCATTATTTTAGTAGCCCCTGCTTAGGCAATGTCACAGTGCTACACACACACTCAGTGGGTTTCAAACTAGCCTTTAATGAGACTGAGATGGTGGCCAGGGATATAGCTCAGCAGCACAGTGCCTGCCTGGCAAGCACAAACTTGTGAATTCAATCCCTGGTATGCAAACAGTAAATAAAAAAATAGACTGACATATACAAAGTTGTATCTAGTCACCTAGGAGATCCAGGAGAGCCAAATGAAAGCTCCAATTAGAATGGTTCTACAGGGGCTGGGAATTTAGCTCAGTGGCATAAGTGCCTACCTTGCAAGCAGACAGTCGTGAGTTCGATCTCTGGTACCGATAAAAACAAAAAAGACAGGGCTGGGGATTTAGCTCAGCAGCATAAGCACCTGCCTTGCAAGCAGGTAGTTGTGAGTTCAATCCCTGGTACCGATAAAAAGGAAAAAGACAAAAAAAAAAAAAAAAGAATGGTTCTGCATTTACCTATTTTGTTTACTGATCTTTCATTAAGATTATGTTAGGAATCAAGAAGGAAAGTGAAAGAAACAAAGATTTCATGGCCCAAAGAAGTCAGAAATCCACAGCAATGTATGTGTAAACAGCAGTGTGTACAGCGATGCCATGCAAGCATTCTTATTTTATAGGAGGAAGGTTCATTTTCCTCCTGGGCCCTCTACCTTGCCTGGCTTTTGGCTCATTGCAGTCCAGCCTTCAGCTTGTGCTGCATGCTGACCAAATGCCACGGCAGGATGATGGCTCCTGCCCTACCTTCTTTTTGCCTTTAATCCGAAGGAACGGCTCCTGCTCCTGCAGCTCAGGCTCAGATTCCACCTGTGTCCCCTGCAGTGGCTCCAAGTCACACTCTGGCTCCTCCTCTTTGTCCTCCTCTTCAACGTCCGGCTCACATGTTTCTAACTTCTTCCCCTTCAGCAGGATCTTCCCTCGAAGTTGCTAGAGGATGAAAATGAAGGGACTTCATTTTCAGAGACCCTGCAGATTTCATTTCTCTCAAAGGCAAAGGAACAAGTGAGTGATCAGAAGTTCCCCAGGAAGAGATCCATTGCTTGGTACATATCCTGGGAATTCCCTTATTGTTAAGCAAATTTATAATATCTCTATCTATATGGAAAAATAATCATTATCCCTTACCTCACATGTGACATAACTAAAAACTCCTTTAAAGATTTACAGACATACAGCTGGGCATGGTGGCACATGCCCTCCACTTGGGAGGGTGAGGCAGGAGAATCGCCACAAGTTCAAGACCAGCCTGGGCTCTATAGTGAGTTTAAGGACAGCCTGCACTATATAGCAAGACCGTACCTATAAACAAATAAATAAATACATAGCCTTTAGAAAGGTGATATGAGAACTGAATTCTAAAAATAGAAAAAATTGGAGCTTTGACTACATAAAGCTTAAAAACTTCTATAAGGTAAAAGATGCTAAAAACATAAAAGCAAAAACAGACTGCAAAAAAATATTTTCCAAGACAGGAATGGTGATACCACCTGTAATCCCAGTACTCTAGGAGACTGAGATAGGAGGATCACAAATTCAAGCCCACTCTGGGCAATACAGTAACTTACCAAGACCCTGCCTCAAAATAAAAAAGGGCTAGGGATGTAGCTCAGTATGAAGACCCTGGGCTCAGTCCTCAGTACTCCCTGCAAGAGCATTAACACCTTTAACATTTGACATCACCTGAGCACCATGGTACACTCTTGCAATCCCAGCACTCAGGAGGCTGAAGCAGAGGACTTCAAGCAAGTTCAGCCCAGCTTGGGCTACATAACTAGTCTGGACCACATAGCTAGATCCTGACTTTAAAAAAAATCATGGGCTAGGGATTTAGTTCAGTGGTGTAAGTACCTGCCTGACAAGCACAAGGTCATGAGTTTGATTCCCAGTAAAAAAAAAAAAAATCAAATATCAATAAAAATAATAAACCCTAAAGAAAGTAGTATCAAATAAGCAAAAGAAGAAAACACAGTAGAGGCTTTTCTTTTGTAAAGACATAACTTTTTTTTCGATATTTGCCATTATGATTATGAATCATCTCATTCACAGAGCTGTTTCTGGTCATTCTCTTCTGTTGGTTGGAGTATAATCTGATATTTTTTCCACAGGGAAAACTGGCAATAACAATAAAAAAAAGTCAAGATGCAAACCTTTTAACTCAATAATTTTGCTTCTAGGAACCTGTTCCAAAGAAAAACTATATGAAAAAGTTGTATATACAAGTTGAAAATTACAAACAACCTAAATGTCTACCAAATGCAAACAACTGAATTTTATGACCCATAACATAAATGAGCACGGTGGTACATGGCTGTGGTGGTGCACGCCTATAATCCCAAAATTTGGGAGGCTGCAGCAAGAGGACCTCGGTGAGTACAAGGCCAGGCTAACTCATGCAGTAAGAACATGTCTCAAAAAACAAAACAATGATGATGACAATGACAACCACAACAAAAACTTATTGAGAACCTGGTGTGGTGGTACATATCTGTAATACCAGAACTAAGGAGGCTGAGGCAGGAGGATCACCATGACTTTGAGCCCAGCCTGGGCTACATAGTGAGTGCAAATTTAGCCTGAACTGCATAGCAAGATCTTGTCTCAAAAAACTGAAAAAAGGCCAGGGATATATCTCAGTGGCACAAGCACCTGCCTGGCAAGCACAAGCTCCTGAGTTTGATTCCTGATACCAAAAAATTTTTTAATTAAAAAAATGTTTAAAACTTATTGATAGGGGTTGAGTGTGTAGCTCAGTGGAATGGCATGTGTTTAGCACAAGTGAAGTTCTGGGTTCTAACCCCAGCATCAAATAGATACAGTAATATACAAACAGACACATTGATCATTTTTATGGAAGAGGTTGGGGTTATGCTGGGGGTTTCTCTATTGTTTGTATGGTCTATACCTACAACAGTTATAAACTATCATGAAAAAAATTAAGATACTTCCATTGAAAGTAAAATATACTTTTACTTGGTTGATTGAAACCTTAGAGACCAGCCAGGCGTGGTGGCTCATGCCTGTAATCCCAGCACTCTGGAGGCTGAGGCAGGAGGATTGCCTTGAGTTCAAGGACAGCCTGTACTACATGGTGAGAACTTGTTGCAAGAAAACTCCACTTTTTTTATACGATCCTCCCCATTTTTGCCTTAAAAACTTTCCTTTGGGGCTGGGGATTTAGCTCAGCAGCATAAGTGCCTGCCTTGCAAGCAGGCAGTCGTGAGTTCGATCCCTGGTACCAATAAAAACAAAAAAGACCAAAAAACCCAAAAAAACAAAAAAAAAAAACTTTCCTTTGCCTCAACCTCCTCAGCTACACTCATAATATATCATGGAACGCATATTCCTGTTGCAGTACTATTTTATTCCCAAATAAATACCATTATTCCTTTTAATTAAAAAAAAAAAGAGGCTGGGGATTTAGCTCAGTGGCTAAGCACCTGCCTTGGTCCTGCGTTCAATCCCCAGTACTGATAAAAAGAAAAAAAAAAAAAAAGAAAGAAAGAAAAGAAAAGAAAGACGGGACCAGAAGGGGCCTGGAGGAAGGAGCCATAGCAGGGGCCAGCAGAAGCCCTTGCAGAGCCTGGGTCACTACCTCCGGTGAGGGCAGCTGTGTGGGCAGCAGCCCCTCCAATGGGGCGCTCAGCAGTTGCTCCCCTAGGATCTCAGTCAGGTGCTGGGCTAGAGTCTGCTGCTGCTCCCAGCTGCAATGGTTCTCCAGGGATAGGATGAGGGGGTAGTCTGATGTCTGGTGAAAGAGAGGGGAGAAGTTGCATTCACAGTTCTAAACCCCAGAACCTCCTTCTCCTCCCAGGGCCCCCTATTTCCTCAGTTGAGTACCTTGAGTGCTAAACCCCTCCAATTCTGCTACAGGGCTCAGTGAAACTTTTGGGGTCTGGGGTCCATGCCTTGGTACTCTATTCACATCTAATAATCATTCTTGGGATTTCAAATTTCATACTGTGCCAAATCTGACCCAGGTCCCTCTGAGACCTCTGAGTTTTCAGGCCCAAAGTGGGAGGGCCATGTTGTTCCCCTAGCTATCGGTTTGCATTCCATCCTCAGATATCCATCACCAAATTCTTACTGTCCCTCAGCCCTACTCCCCACTGTCCTGCGTCCTTATCCAACCTCTCCTAGACAGTGAACAGAACTTGTTAAGTAGTAGTTACTAACCACTAGTAATTACTTCTTTGACTACTGATTACTAGTAACACACCCAAATTTACTCCTGCAATCCCTTAATACTGCCTGATGCTTTAAACAGTCTACATATATCATGCTGTTTTCAGTAAGCTTTCCTATACCCTTTTCCCCTTCTGGACCTGAGCTAGTCATCCCCTCCACTAACCGTCTCCCCTTAGTGCTGTTTCCAGCCTGGGGCCACTACCTGGAAGGCATACTGTGCTACTGCGGTGACAACATCTTTGAACGGGATGCGGGAGGTCAGGGTGTGTCCATGGTAAACGATGGGTTCCCCATTAGGTCCATCCCAAACATCCACCTCCACGCAGCGGCACCCCCGCTTCAGGGCCCTGTAAGAACAGCAACAGCCCAGAGGTAGGGGAGGTCAAGGTATGATCGTCCCCCTAAGGACCTCTCTGCACTCTGGAAAGGACAATGCTCACCACCACTCATCCACCCAAACCCCTACAAGCTGCATCTCCATGGAGATGTCTCTTTCTACTAACATCTGGCTGCAGATCACACTGATCTCCACCCATAGCCCACCCAACTTCCAATCCTCCTAAGCAATACACTACCTTGTGATACTTTTGATGTTTTGGTTGTATGTTCCTACACCAAACCTGGGATGTCAAACTCTGGGTGAATGCACACTTCGCCCCCAAGGGAGATTGAACCCAGAGCCTCACACATGCTGAGATTGTATTCTACCACTGGGTACACTCCCAGCCCCTTATTTTCTCAACTAGACATCATAAAGTAGAAATGTGGACGTTTCACTTATCTTTGAATGGAAGCTCCACTCATTTTTTTGTTCCCTTAAAACTACTAGTTCAGTTGCTAGCACTTACAAAGCTCTCTTGACTATTCTATCTAATTCATGGGGGTTAATCATAATAAAAGCAGCCTTCATGTATTAGCTACTGACACACACACTAACTCAGTCAGTGTTTACAACCCTGAGAGGAAGACATTTGTTATCCTCGTTTCAGAGACAGGGAACAAGGCATAAAGAGGTTCATTACTTAGCCCCAGAGCACCTACTGAGGGAGACAGCATTTGACCCCAGATAGTCTGACTCCAGAATCCATGTTTCTCATCCTTTGTTCTACTGCCTTCCTTTAATGTGCAGTTTATTCATTCAAAATAAATCTGCGAAGGCCCGTGAGTTTGGGGAGTTTGTGAAAGAGTGGTTCCGTTTCCCCAGAGAGGTTCATCACTCTTCTCCCACCAGTCTTCAGTGTGTTCTCCAAGTACCTCATATGTGCAGGCTCAGCCTCTAATCCATACGATGCCCATCAGCCACAGCCTCCCCTCATTCCCCCACATACAGCCCCTGCCATGAGCCGGATCTCTCCTCTGCCCGGCGCACCGTATGTATCCCTCGACGCTGCTCTGGCCACACAGCTGGTCCCCCACTAGGTAGGTGTTGTGAGAGGAGTTAATGAAGTAGTGACTCAGAGGCTGAGTCATGTCCTGGTAGACAGGGAGGCAGACCGGGTTGAAGATGTCCCCATCCTTCGAGCAGAGGTAGCTGAGGAAGCCGTCCATGCTCAGCACATGTCGCAGTTTGCCTAGAGCGGGGAGTGGGAAGCACCAGGGTGAGAAGCCCACCTTCCACCCCAGGCCCTCTAGGGTCCTACCTTTCAGATGGTTCCCATTCTCAGCCACTAGGTCGCAATATTTCCCACCAGTGCCTGTCGTTTCCACCGTGCCCACCCTCGGACACTGTTAAAGGGACCCTGGAGCTCACTTGTCCACAGCTGTCCAACAGGACTTTCTACCTGGATGGAAATGTTCTATGCTGCAGTGTTGAATATGGCAGTCTCTAACCACTTGTAGCTATGAGCACTTGAAATGTGACTGGTATGACTGAGGGACTGCATTTTAAGTGCCACTTTATTTATTTATTTATTTATTTATTTGAGATGGGGTCTTGCTATGCAGTTCAGGCTAGCCTTAAGCTCACTTTGTAGCCTAGGTTGGTCTCGAACTCACAATGATCCTCCCACCTCAGCCTCCCGAATGCTGGGATTACAGGCATGAGCCACCATGCCTGGCTCTCTGCGGTATTGGGGATTGAACTCACAACTTCACGCTTGCCAGGCAGGCGCTTATGCCACTGAGCTAAATCCCTGGCCCAAGTGCCACTTGATTTTAATTAATTTAAATTTAAATTGTCACAGGAAGCCGAGTTACCATAACAGATCCGGCAGTAGCCGGTGCAAAAGTCTAATTCTATAGCTGGTAACTGAAGTCTAGAGAGATTCAAAATCAGAGAGACTCATTAATGACATGGCCAAGAGGCCTGTGTTTTCTTTCTTGGGCTGTACAGCAGTGTGACATAGGTCCTGAAGATCTTTTCCTACCATCAATACTCCCCTGTAGTATGTTGGGGAGCACAGTCAGTATCTCCTTAGACTACACTTTTGAAAAAAGGGACCATTACTCTTCTCTTACAGTTGGATCTAAAATGGCCCCCAGAAGTCTGATGTATTCAGTAGCAGGGATTTTAAGGTGATTGGTCATGGGGTACTGATGAATTTATAGCTAAATGTGCCATTAGGAGGTGAGGGTCTGTTGGCAAAGAAGATTCAATGGTGCATGGCATAGAAAGGTATATTCTTGTCTCTGGCTTCTCCCTCCTCACCTTCTGCTTCCTGGCTGCCATGGGTTGAGTGTCTTTCCTCTACTACATCATTTTTGCCTTGGAGCCAGTCAAATATGGACCCAACCCATGTCAAACCATGAGACAAATAAATGTCTCCTCCCTTAAGTTGTGGGTATTGGGTATTTTGTTCTAGTGATAAGAAAGTGATTAATACACTCTCCTTAGCCCCTGTGCTTCTCACGGTTGGTTTCATATACTAATAACAATAATTAAGTACCTGCTCCATGTCAAAGATATGATATGCAACACCTCACTTAATGTTCTCACTAACACAATTTGCCATAAGAAGTTAGATAACTTGCCCCAGGGCACATAATTAGTAGGTAATTCTCAAATAAGAAGCTCACTGATTCTCAAATGTAAGGAGACAGATCACCAAGAGATGTGGAGAATAAATCTCATCTCAGTCTGTTTTACAAACTGGGTACCTAATTTATTAAAAATAGATTTCTTACAGTTCTGGAAATCCAAGCTTGAGGGCCCTGCATGTGGTAAGGATCTTGCCGTGTCATTCCATAGCAGATGATAGAAGGACAAGAGAACACTTACAAAGGGGACCAAATTTATCTTTTTATCAGGTGCCCACAGCCTTAATAACTAACCCACTGCCGTAACAGCAGAGCCCTCAGGACTTAATCAACTCTCAGAGGTTCCACCTCTCAACCCTTTATGTTGGAGAGGGACATGGTGTCACATTCCCGTAATCACACCATTTCGGAGGCTGAGGCAGGAGGCCAGCCTGGGCTACATAGTGAGTTGAAGGACTGCCTGAATACAGAGACCCTCTCTTGAAAAAACTGAACTGTCAACACTTTTGTGTTGAGAGATTAAATTCCCAATACACGCAGTCCGGGCGACATATTCAAGCCATAACAAATGTAATTGGTGTGTACTGGATCTCAAACTGGGGACAGCAGCTCTTAACCCTCTAACATACTCCTTCAGTTTCGTCTTCTGACATGATTGCTTTAGAGCCCCATTCTTCTTCCAACACCCTCACAAACCCAAGGCCTTGCACATGCTAGCCAAGTGTTCTGCCTCTGTGCTGCAACCATAGCCACTAGTACTTCCTGTTTGACTCAGTTTCACAAGGGCCTTGTTTGACCGAGGTGCTACTGTCTCTCTGGTGCCCAGGACAGATGACATATTGTACTTACTCAATAAGCATTAGCTGAAGTACTGAATGAATGAATGCATGAATGAAATGGAGTAGGAGTTGAGTCTCAAGAAACCTGGATCACTTGCCCAGCTATCAATCATTCCATGTTATCTTTATTTTCAAGAGCAGTATTAGTTAAGAGATGGCTTGAAGAGATGGTTTGAATTCCAATTCTTCCCTCATTAGCTGTCTTTGGGCAAGTTCTTCACTCTTTCTCAAACTCAATATTTCTATTTTACACAATTAAGTAAGAAAATCCTTTTTTTTTTTAAGGAAGGGTTTCTTTTGAGATAGAATCTTCCTAAGTGATTAGGCTGCCTTTGAATTTACCTAGGAGCCCAAGCTGGCCTCAGATTTGCTACAATCCTTCCGCCTCAGCTTCCCAAATGCTGAGATTACAGATATGTGCCACCACACCTGGCTAAGAGAACCATTTTAATAGGTGATTGGAAAGATTTAAAAACAAAAAAAATATATAGAGAGGTATTAATGCATGACGATATACTTAAAGGGGCTCAATAAAGATTATTGCTGGGGCTGGTCCGAGTACAGTGGTGTTTACAACTAATTGATCACAACCAGTTACAGATTTCTTTGTTCCTTCTCCACTCCCACTGCTTCACTTGACTAGCCTTAAAAAAAAAAAAAAAAGATTATTGCTGTTCATCTGAGTCATCAGTTACTAAATTTAAGTATTCTTGCTTTTGGGGGGGGCGGGTGGTACCAGGGATCAAACTCACGACCTTGCACTTTCCTGGCAGGCACTTATGCCACTGAGCTAAATTCTCAGCCTGCCTTAAGTTTTTAAAAACACAAAATATTTAGTTCTATTAAATGGATTTCCACAAATTGTTAAGATATAAATGTTTAAGACTGCTTTCTTTATAAAGTAGCTAAGAGTTAAAATTCTTTTTTTTTTTTTTTTTTTTTTTTTATCGGTACCAGGGATCAAACTCACGTCTTGCTTGCAAGGAAGGTTCTTATGCCGCTGAGCTAAATCCCCAGCCCAAGAGTTAAAATTCTAATGTATGATCCTATTATACACAGAAAGAGGGACTGTGGCTGTAGCTCCATGGTAGAGCACTTCCCTAGTATGTACAGGATCCTGGGTTTGAGTTACAGTACTTGAAAAAAATTTTTTAAAAAGGGAGGTGTCCCGGGGGTGGGGCACCTTGGACCCTTGAGACTCCTCAACAAAACTCTCTCCAGCTGAGAAAACAGATGCCTATTACATAACTGTTTGGTATAACTAAAAGGTTAGATAGTTTTCTATGTTAAAAAACCATAAAGTTTTATTAAGATATTAAGATGCTGTTGGTTAAACAATTAAAAATGTTATACCTGTTGATTTACAAGGTTATAATGAGAACTAAATTCTGCAAAGAATGTAAAAGCGTTTTGTAAGTAATTTACTATTAATGTAAATTTTCTCATATTCTGAAGTGAGCAGAAGGATGGAAACAAGTCTACAAAAGAACCAGAGTGAAAGAAAATATGAAGACTGAGAAGACATATTTTTGCTGCACTTGTTAAATGCTAGGTAATTGCCTTCACCATTTCCTCAGCCCAGCAGTGAAGATTTCTGGTCCAGGGGCTTAGAGACTCAGGAACCACTTGGAGAATTGGAAAAATCCCAGGAAAGGGCAGAGAGGCAACATTTAAAAGCATAGCAAGCAGGAACTATGACAGGGAACCAGAGGAAAATGGATCATTTCCACTAGAGAAGAGGACCGTGGATATTCTGTTCCTGCTCAAGACAAAGCTGACAGCAGGAAAACTCCCCAAAGGTAAAGTCTATGATCCAGGAGTATAATAAACGAGAGGGTACTACCAGGGTCCTCAAGACCCCTGTCTTGTATGGGCAGGGAATGACTGCTCTCCTGGAGGAGTGGCTAAACGAGATGAGTGTGCAAAGGGCAAGCGCAGGGGTGGATTCAGCCTCCCCCAGCACAGGAGTTGGGTAGAAGATTGCTTCTCTCTGGGAATTTTACACTATGGCCCCTGCCATGTTCACCATGTTCAGTGCCTCCCCACCAGCTTCCCTTACCACTGTCTGAAGGCTCACAGCGGTTAATGAATTCCAGAGCACAGCCAGGAGCATAATCTTTTTCTTTCTGCTCTCCCTGAAGGAAATCCACAAATTCCAGGAGAGTCAGCTTCTTCCCATCAGCCGAAAAGTTTTCAAACAGTTTTCGTATTTCTTTACGCTTAGTTAGTGACTTATAGAAGTGTACAAACTCCTCTCTTTCTAGCGTCCCAGTCTGGGAGATGTCTGCTGCCTACAAGAGGTTAGGAGAGAATAGCTGGATGCTTTAATGGGAAATTTTATGACTTTCACCTGCTCTAAAAGGGTGATCTTGTTGACAGATTCAAATACGCTTCCATAAAACCCCCATAGAACTCCTGACATTTCATGTTCATAGATGAAGCCACTTCCAGTAGGTTAAAAGCAAAGTTTCTGCCATATCATTTGCTACCAAAGAAAATTTTGTACCTCATAAAGGTCCCTAAAAGATCAAAACGTACTTTCTCGTCTTTATTAACACTGCTGTGGGGGTTTTGTACTATATACCTGTAAAATCCTGATTAGGAACAGAAAGCTCCTTGAGGTCCAATGTAACAACATATTGCTATTTATTTTTCATAGATTTACGATTCATCTTTCTAACAAGACTGAATAGCAAGAATCATTCCCCATATTTCCTATTTCACCTGTAACAGTGCTAGAAGATACAGCAGGGATTCAACAACTGAATGTTCCTGATAAAGGTCAAAGGCCTTCTGGCTTCCCCAGTAGACTCACCTGGAAAAGATGGAAAGCATATTCGTGGTCCATCTCCATATTCATTAGATGCAGCAGCCGCTGAATTTCTGTGAAGCTCATCCGACCATCCTGGTTTTTGTCTCCACGCTGAAACCAGTCCTTCAGCCACCCAGCTCAAGTTAAGGCAAAAGCACCATGTGCATATGTGTGCTGTGTTCATTCATTCATATCTCTCCCCTCCCAGTCTAGTCTCTCTCCCATGTCAATCTGTCCTCCACAAAACTTCCAGAACGATTTCACCCAAGCACCAATCTATCTTGTCTCTGCATGGCCCAGGCACAAGCAGACCTCCTTGCAACAGACCTCCCTGCTGTCTGCAGAAAGCACCTGATATCCTAGATTTCCTAACCACAGAAGTTAAACTCTTCACTCTGCAAGGTGGTGCAACTCAGCATTCTTGTTTCTCTTATCCCTGCTTTCTGACATCCCACTCTCTGCTGGTCTTCAGTCTCCTGTCTCTAGACTTTATTTTTCCTCTCTTCATGTTCAGATACTACTTGATGCTAAGACCAGCTCTCATGCTATTTCTTCCCTGAAGCTTTCTCAGAACACTTGATGAATTATCTTTCTTTGAATATATACAAATAATCTAAGTATCATAACATCCTTTGGTACTTAGATCACACAATTCAATTACATCCTCTCCACTAGGGCAATTTTTGTGTTTAATTAATCTTTGTAAAACTTGGCATATTGCTTGATACAACTTGCTTTGTTGGTGATGAATGAATGAAGAAATGAATGAGTGAATGAATGAAGTGGCATACAATTCAGGAATCCTGAGGTACTATATCACAGGAGTTGCTTTCCTGTCTCTGTGGTGGTTAATACTATCAGGATTTTCTGTTCAGCATTGGGCCAGGGATCTAGCTCAGTGGCATAATTGCCTGCTTGGCAAGTGCAAGATCGTGAGTTTGATCCCCAGTACCAAAAAAAAAAAAAAAAAAAAAAAAAAGTTCAGCTTCTGTTCAGCACTCAGGAACACTGGTGTGTTTGCTCCTGAGCCTCTCACTTCCCCCTGTCTGCAATCCTAGGGATCTGATTCATGCCCACGCGCTGCCTGGCTGTATCTTTGCCCTCCCTAGCATCCAGGCAGCCTGCGGTGCCTCTACCCACACAGCATCTGGACCCTGGGCCTCCCTGTCCCTGTACTCTTTTCCCATCTTCCCTAGTGCTGCAGCATCTGGCTCCTTAAGTCACTCAGTCCCCACCCTGCCTCCATCTCGTTGATACTGGTCCAGCCACTCCTGTTGGTCCATGCTGGTAACAAGGTCCACCAACAGCTGGAGTCCTTGCATCCAGGTTTGGGCCTCCTCAACACTGTTAGCCACTAGGTCCAGGTTGGAGCGCCGACCATGGAAGACAACAGTGAAGCCCTGCTCCAGTGGGAACTCCTCTGCCAGACTGCGCAGCAGCTCAGAATCATGGCCCTTCCGCACCATCTCCACATCAGAGATTGAGACTGCCCGAGAAGAAGCAGGTGAGAAGATTAAGGAAGGGAACCGAAAAAATTGCAGGGTTAAGAAGCAATGGCCAGGGGCTGGGGCTGGGGATTTAGCTCAGCGGCATAAGTGCCTGCTGTGCAAGCAGGTGGTCGTGAGTTCGATCCCCGTACCGATAAAAAGGAAAAAGACACAAAAAAAAAAAAAAAAAAAAAAGAAGCAATGGTCAGCCCCTGCTTCTTCATGAAGACACACAGAGATGGAACCCTAAACTCGACAGGCTGAGTGCTAAAAGGCATCGGTGCATGGAGATGCAGAGTCCTCGAGTTTAGTCCCTGGCAGGGGATCTGTGCTGCAAGGGCTTAGATTGTGGCTTCCAGCCACCAGCTGGCAGTGTGACAACAAAACAAAAGAACGTAATCCCCCAGTGTTTTTGTTTTAGGTAATGGATGGTCCCCTTCCAGAGCTAGTCTCAATGGTGATCACAAACGAAATGGTAGAGATGACAAATTGAAACACATTTGAATGGTAGAAGCAAGTACAACAAAGCAGTATATGCTTGAATTCAGGTTTGAGGGTTTTCTCTTTCCAGCAGGGAGCCAGAGAAATTCTATTCCTTACCTCTGCTGGGAATGGGTTGAAAATTGTGACCTCTGAGTATGAGTGTAACACAGACTCTAAGGTTCTGCTATCTGTGGTCAGATTTTAATTTTAATTCAGTTTTGTTTTGTTTTTGTTGCTTTTTTGAGACAGGGTCTCACTAGGTAGTCAAGGCTGGCCTCAAACTCATGGTGATCCTGCTGCTTTGGCCTCTCAAGGGCTTGGGATTCCAGGCATGCACCACCATGCACACTGGGCTATCAGAGGTTTAGAGGTATTCTAGTTTAGCCAACAGAATCCACACTCTTCTGATGTATTTTTAAATGGCTAACATTGCTTAATCAGATTCTGTTTTAGGTGTCTTATACATATTTCATTGAATCTGTAGCCAGGTACTGTCTAATCTGATCCTAGAGCAAGAAAGTGGCAGACCCAGAGCTGTAATCTGGCAGATGGATGTCTCAGATCATGGTCTTCATTTCTTTCTTTTTTGTGTATTTGTTTGTTTATGGTCGTATAATAACAACAGCAACAACAGTAAGATTTAACCAGTGAGCCAGGAGTTGTGGCCAACACTTGCAATCCCAGCACTCTGGGAGTCTGAGGTGAAGCCCAGTCTGGGTGACTTAGTGAGACCCTCTCTCCAAAAACATTTTAAAAGGGTGGGGGCAGGGCAAGGCATGGAGCATGTTGACACCTGCCTATAATACCAGTACTCAGGAGGCTGAGGCAGGAGAATCACTGGGACTGGAGGCCAGCCTGAATTAAATAGCAAGACCTGTCTCTGAAACCAAAAGCAGACAAAAAAGAATTGGGGATATAGCTAAGGATCCAATTTACTCTCCAGTAATATAAACACGTACATATAATACATATATTTTTTTCTATGACTTGAGCCTTACCATGTGCCAGCATGCCTCTAAATTCCTTTTATGGAAAAATTAATTTAATCCTCACAACAGCCTTACAAAGGCAAGTACTGGTTATAATCTGTACTGGCTCAGGCCACAAAGAGCATGGGATCAGTGGGATCGTGGTTCCTCCTCTGCCCTTAGGCTGCCAAGGTTCCTTGGGACCTGTCCACCCACATGCCCACCCCAGCTATCCAGGTCACTTACAGCTGGGCTTCTCATTGCCCCCGGCCTGCCGTGCATGCCAGACTGTCATGCCGTCTTTCTGAAGTCTGAAGTATCTTAGCTTCTTCCAACTTTTGGACCTCACCTTGCGCATCAGCATGCCTTCTTGCATCTGCAGCAGGTCCTGATCAGTGGTCAACCCTGTGCCAGGAAAACCAGGGACTAGAGAGGAAGTAGGTAAGGTAGAGGGCCTAGGAGGAGCTCTGGAATACAGGCCCAGCCCACTTCCCTTCCCAGGCTGCCCTGAACCCTTCTTCCTCCACAGGGGCACTCACGGTCTTGTATTACTGATGCCATCGTCCTCTGCTCCACTAGCTAGTCCCAGAGTCACCAAAAGGAATAAGGAGAGCAAAGGGCTTGTATGAACCCTGGAGATCTAGGGAGTAAGAGAAAGGGGCTAGCATTTCTTAGTCTACACAATCTGTAGCTATTTCTACTTTTGAGTTTGTGAATCTGAAGTTTAGGGAGGCTAAGATAGTTGCCTCAAATAACACAAGGATTAGAATTTAAACGCAGATATGTCTGACCCCAAAGCCTCTGCTGTTTCCCATGGCTAAACCAGGCCATCTGCCAAATTTCCTCTTGCTACCAATTTCCCTACAATCCACTAGGCAGCCTGTTCAATCCACACAGTTCACTCCTCAGCTCTTTATTGGGAACTACCATCTTGCTGGCCAGCCCTTTTCAGAGTGCAAAATCTCTCCACACCCTAGCTTTCTCTTCTCTGGGTGGAATCATCCCAGCATTCCTCTTCTGGGACCTTGTTCTTGTGCCCTTGTGGATTATCTTGAAGAGACAGGGAAGCCTGAAGGGTTGGGCAAGAGTATTTGGGTCTCTTCTAGAACACTTAGTTATATTCTTCTATGTTCACATGATAAAGCATATTTTCTATTCCTTTTCTTCTCTTCTTCCTCTTATGTGGTGCTAAGGATCAAACCCAGGGCCTCATGGGCTGCTGGGAATTTAGCTCAGTGGCATAAGTGCCTTCCTTGCAAGTGCGTGGTCATGAGTTTGATCTTTGGTACCGATAAAAAACAAAAAAACCCAGGGCCTCACCCATGCTAAGAGTACTCTATCACCAAGCTAGATCTCCAGTCTTAAATGTTTTTCACAAGGGCTAGGGATTTAGCTCAGCGGCATAAGTGCCTGCCTTGTAAGCAGACAGTTGTGGGTTTGATCCCTGGTACTGATAAAAAGGAAAAAGACAAAAAAAAAAAAATTAAAAAAAAATTTTTTTTCATAACAGTTATTCTCACAGGTTTGTTTGTGTGGATTGAACCCAAGGCCTTTGCACTCAGCTACATTCCCAGACCTTTTTTACTTTTTTGAGACATGGTCTTGCTAACTTGCATCTTTCTTAGTCTCCTAGAGTGCTAGGATTACAGGCGTACACCACCACAACTGATTTATTTTCACAGTTTTTAATGGACCAAAAATGTTACTCAAAGCTGGGCATGGTATTGCCATCTGTAATCCCAGCACTCTGGAAGACTGAGGCAGGAGAATCACAAGTTCGAGTCCCATTTGGGCAACTTAGTAAGATCCTATCTTAAAATAAAAAATAAAAAATAGGATGCAGCTCAGTGCAAAGGCCTCCCAAAACCAGAAAAATTAAAAGTTACACAAATCTCAGAACTGCATTTGCAAGTTTGCTTACTAAAAAAGGATATCTCCTTTAAAATATATGCTGTCCAGTGTAGAAGCTGGTTAAACGTTCTTGCCTCTAACAGCAAACTTTCCTTAAAGAGAACTACAAGATTTAATACGTGGTCACTTTGATTCCAGTTTTGCCTAGTTAGTGGACAGAAATTTTGACCACATCATGTTGAAACTAACAAAACTCATGAAACATAAAACTCATAAGAAGGAACAAAATATTTGGGAGTAGGGGCACTGGCAAGGGCACAGGGGATGAAAACTGACAGTAAGTGTTTGGTTCTGAAATATTCATTCCCAGACATACAGAGATCTTCAGGGTATAGCTACCCCTAATACAGATGTCAAAATAGATACGTAAATTAGGAATTAGCCTGTGTGGCCACAGAGCAAGATTTGTCTTTGAACTTTTAAGTGGCTTCACATCATCTAGCATTGGACTTTGCTAGTGTCACCACTCATGCCAGTGGCATTCCGGTAGAACTCAAGAAGTCTCCTTTCTCTCCAAAGAACAGGAAGGAAGAAAATCATTTTGTTTGCTACCTTGCTTACCCTGATTTGTGTAAAGGGGACGAATGGCTCTGTTCACAGGTAATAGCACTCAATATAAAGAGTTTGAAGGTTCTTTTATAGCACATTTAATCTAAAGGTTCATGGCCAAAAAATGTTTTTTTTTTTTTTTTGGTCTTTTTCATCAGTTCCAGGGATCGAACTCACGACTGCCTGCTTGCAAGGCAGGCGCTTATGCCACTGAGCTAAATCCCCAGCCCCTAAAAAATGTTTTTTAAAGAGTACCTTAAAACAGAGATTCCTTCACCCCACCATAAAATCTATCCAGTCAAAACTTCCAAGTATAGGGTTCAAGAATATTTAACAAACATACCTGGTACAGGTGAATCTGGGAAACACTAAACTCTCTCTTTACAGATCAATATATTGTGATGTAAAGTCCCATAGAACAGCACTGGGTACACCAAATTACCCTGGATTGTTAAGCAGGAGAACAAGGCACAAGACTGGAACTCTGGTCCACTTCAAGGATGTCTCATAATTCTCCCAGTGACGAGGAGTTCCTGACTTTCCAAGGTCCTAGGGGACCATTTGGTAACCCTCAACCATCTGTTAATGAATCTATGTTAAACCCTGTCTACTCCAATTCTTTCTCTTCCCTCACCTCTGATGAGTGGCGAGGGTTAGCACTCCTGATCCTGGACAGCTAAGAGACATCTTTAAAGGGGTGAAACCAGATGTGGTCATTCTAGCACTCAGGAAGGCTGAGGCAGGAGGATCACAAATTCAAGCCCAGCCTGGGCAATTTAGAGTCGTAGACACTATCTCAAAAAATTAAATTACTACATAAATAAATAAATAAAAAGGACTGGGAATGTAGCTCAGTGTGAAGTCACTGGTTCAATTCCCAGGACCAAAAAAACAATTCAAACAAACAATGGGTGATTGACCCAAATGGGAGGAAAATTAACAGTGAAGAGGGGACCAGAGGGAACCAGGAGTCCAGCTGAGCTGTTTGGGTGTGGAAAGGAGTCCAGGAAGCAATCTGAGAAGTGTAGGTAAACACTTGAGGACAGAATTAGGGACTCTGGGCAGGTCACAGCAGAGCAGAGAGGAGGCTGGCCGCAGCTGCCAGGCCCTTACCGTGGTAGGCAGGATAGCAGTCCCGTGTCTGCAAGTTAGGCTTCCAAGCTTTGCGATGCTCTCCACTGTGGGCTAAGGAAGCCCAGCATGGCTCTTTTCTCTTCTCCTTTGCACTTGCCTGCTTCCTCCCTTTTTCTTCTGCAGTTCGCTGCTATTACGGGCAGGGTTACAGGCAGAGGGAAGGAGTGGGGTGGGGAGAGGTTTAAGCTCTTTCCTTAGTCCAGCCCAGTCAGCTCTTAAAGGCCCAGGACACTGGTCCACGTGAGTAGTGGTGGTTGGGTGGGAGGAGGGGATTAAAGCGTAGGGATTGACTGGCAATCAATCTCCAGGGCGAAGCCTGGCTGCCCTGTATCTTGATGTCCACCCTCCCCCACATCCCCAAATGACCCAAATTCTGCAGTAGCTCTCAAAGTGAAACTCAAGGAGTGTCTGATCTGCAGAGCTCCATGAATCACTGCTTTTCATTCTGGTGGGTCTCTGCATGTCATTCGGCTGGTTTTGTCCTCATTTCACTGGGTTGCTTCCCAGTGTCTGTTTCAGCATGCTGTGTGTGTCTGCGTCTTGCCTTGCAAGGTGCTCAGTGGCACAGCAAAGGAAGAAAGAAGTAGGATGGGAAAGGAGGAAGATAAGGGGAAAGGAAAGAGAGTAATGATCAAGTGTCAAGGGTCAGATCAGTATGAACATTGAAAGCACTTGCTCAATATTGATGAACACACACACAAATGTGAAACAATTCATTTCCCTCCCCTTTACATTCATTCATTCCTTCTACAAGCATGTGTTAATGCCAGGACATATATGTATGTTTACAGAGGCAGGGAGATGAAGTACGCTCATGGTGTGTAAAGAATACAGAGTGGAGTAAGGACAGACTGGCCAGATACTCATTAGGTAAGGAAAATAATGGGCTACTTATAAGGGTGATGGGGCTGGGAATTTAGCTCAGCAGCATAAGCGCCTGCCTTGCAAGCAGGCAGTCGTGAGTTCGATCCCTGGTACTGATAAAAATGAAAAAGAGGAGGAAAAAAAAAGGGTGACGGACTAGGCAGGGAGAACAGAAACAAAGATTGAGGAAAGGGGGTCACATTAGGAGAGGAAGAAGGGATTATAAAGGGTTTACTGTATCATGATCCATACTTCACAATGAGAAACTGAGGCGCAGGGAAGTTTAGATGAGGACCTGGATTCGCGTGTATACATAGCAGACAGCCTTCCTCCTGAACCTTCCCATCTCTCTGCAAGCTAGATTGGCTTTTGCTCTGCTTTGAGAAGGCTGTGTGGCATGGCTGTTTCTGAACCAGGGGATGACAGGCAGTTGAGGCACAAGACACATCCCTATGCTCGAACTTCTGTGGAATCCTCAGAATCCATTTCAGTAAGGTATATCTTAACCATAGACATAGAGGGGGCCAGCTGTGTAAAATGGGATGTTAAATGTGCTAAGATCTGGCTGGTTCGTGTGGTTTCCCCAAACATTCCTCAACTGCCTAATATTCTACCATTAGTAGCTAGTCATAGCTAAATTTTTTTTCCCTTAAAACAAAATCCTACTAGATGATGACCATAATAAGATAAGGAAGAATTGTCACAAGATCTGTTTTTAGTCCTGAGGGCTAACAGCGTTCTTTACTACATAATAACTTACTAAGCTACATATTTATTACTATAGTTTTCTGTATCTGTTTATTGTACAATGAAAGGATTTAAAGGTTTTTTTTTTTTGGTATCAGGAATCAAACTCAGGACCTTGCACTCACCAGGCAGACACATATGCCATTAAGCTGTATGCCCAGCCCTAGGATTTAAAATTCCTGAATTAGAAGTTTTTTTGGCAATTATATATATATATATATATATATATATATATATATATTTTTTTTTTTTTTAATTGCACCTCACTTTGTAGTGCAGGGTGATCTTGAATTCACTACATCTCAGGCTGACCATAAACCTGCTGTAGTCTTGCTGCCTCATCCTTCTGAATGTCCACATGCTGGGATTATAGGCATGTACCATGTCCAGCGTTAATGGTTTTAAAAGTTTTTATCTAGATTAATCAGACTCTTTTACTGGAAGAAGGATTTTTTTTGGTGTGTGTGGGGGGGAGTAGGGTTTTGGTTGCTGCTATTGTTGTCTTTTGTGTATTGAGACAGGGTCTCACTATGCAATTCAGACTGGTTTGAACTCATGGTCATTCTGTCTCATAGGTACTGGGGTTATACCACGCTCAGCTACTGAGAGCAGATTTTATAAAATGTATAAAGGGAGGGGAACCATTAAAAAGTGGACATTCATTGGGAAAAGGAATAGGGGAAGCATCAAAATGTAAAGGGCGATTCCACATTTCACTTAATAGCAGTATGGTTGTGTGCTTGTCTAGCTCTCCCATCTCTACCTGCCTAAAGCATCATCTCCTTTTTTCTGAGCTTCATCCTCACAGTCTTCTTTACCCCTCCTCATTTAACTCCAACTCTACATACATTTGCCTCTCCCTGGGTCCCTGTCAGCTCAGTGCTGCCAACCCTTTCCTTTAGGGTGATCTGTCAAAGTTCTCCCAGGAGAGTGCAGAGCGCAAGCATCACAGTTTGGTTCAGTGTCCTCACAGCACTACTCCTCAGGCTGAGTGTTTGGATTTTTGGGGTAAAGATCTGAAGACTTTAACAAGGTTGGTATGGCTTCAAAGTGCATGCCTTCCAAGGGACTCTATTTAGATCCAGAGGAAGCAGACAGTCGCAGGCACAGGAACTCGCCATCTGTGTAGGTAACTCCTATTTCTGCAGAACTCCTGGCCCTTCCCCCTCAGCTGCCTGTTATTAACAGATCTAGAAATCTAATCAGGGCAGCAGCAGCAGAGGGACTTTCTGGGAACTATGCCCAGGAAAGGTCGAGAAGTCTAAATTAAAATGAAGCAGTAGCTGGCAGGAGACCGTAACCACTGTGCTGTCATGATGCCACCCAGGTCTGCCCAGGCCCTCCTCACCCAGGGCCAGTGCCTTATGTTAGACACCTCTTTTTCTTTTGGTACTGGGGATTAAACTCCCAACCTTTAGCTCGCCAGGCAGGTGCTTGTGCTGCTGAGCTATATCCCACCCCTGTTTTTCTTTTTTTGGTACCAGAGATTGAACTCAGGACTGCATGCTTGCAAGGCAGGTGCTTAATGCCGCTGAGCTAAATCCCCAGTGACACCTCTGTTTTTAGGCCAGCAAATCTGAGCTCAGTTCTCCAGCTTATCCAGGCAAACTACTCAAACTTCTGAAATAAAGCATCTTCTTGGTCAAGAAGGCAACTAAAAATATTAAATTTCCTCTAAGAATGATAAATGAGACCACCCGTGGATCTAAAAGCTAGGATATGTAATGTCAGAGAACAGAGAATGTACAACCACCCTGCTATTCCTGCATAATTAAGAGTTCTAAAGGGTGAGGTATTAAAAGAAAATAAACTTTAAGAAAATGATAGAAGCCTTTTAAAATAAGAGACTATAAATGGCATAATATTCCATACCAAGACAAAACTTTGATAAAGGATGAGAAAAATAAAATGTGTTATTTTTAAATTATGTCTACAAAAGGTTGAAAATTAAAGGAAGATAATCTGGCAACAGTAAGCGCACATTTTAAAATTTTAATTGTTTTGGCATTTTTGGTAGAATTTTAAAATCAACCTATCAATTTTCATGAAATTAACCTACTAAGATTTTACTTAGAATTGAGTTTAACTCGTAGGTCAGTTTGAAGAAAACTGGTATCTAATAGTCCTTTCCTAGCCATGGAGATGACATAGAACTCCATTTATAAAAGGTTTTAGCTTCTCTCCAGCATGTCCCCCCCACCCCCCAGTGCAGAGGTTCTGTACACTATTTGCTGTATCTATTTTTAGATACGTAACTTAAGCTATTAGACACTTTTTTAAGTTTCATTTTTCTATGTAGTTTTATATTTAGAGACACATAATTGATTTTCTTTGGTATTGTGACCATGCTAAATTCACTTAATTCTGAGTTTGTAGATACTTTGGGTTGTCTTTGTACACAATCACACTATCAGCATATTCTTTTTTTCTTTATAATTATTTTCTTTTCTTTTTTTTTTTTTTTGACTTTTTCCTTTTCATCGGTACCAGGGATCGAACTCATAACTGCCTGCTTGCAAGGCAGGCGCTTATGCCACTGAGCTAAATCCCCAGCCCCATATAATTATTTTCTTGGTTTTTACCACACTGACTGGGAAATGATAAACAGAGCTGACAGCAGACATCTTTGTTTCACTCATAAAAATTTCAGTATTTCTGGGAAGTTTACAACTGTAGGATTTTGTTGATACTTTTTATTAAAGTCATGCATTTCTTTTTTTTTTTTTTTTTTTTTTTTTTTGTATTTTTACCTGTACCAGGGATTGAACTCACAACTGCCTGCTTGCAAGGCAGGTGCTTATGCCACTGAGTTAAATCCCCAGCCCTGCATTTCTCTTTTTTAAAATCTTTTGAGACAGGGTTTCACTATGCAGTTCAGGCTGGCCTTGAACTCCCAGCCATCCTCTGCCTCAAGCTCCCAAGTGCTGGATCTCTGGGATTACAGGCATTCGCCAACACACCAGGCCTTATTTCTGGTTTTGGAAGTTGTTTTTTCTTTTTGCAGTGTTGCTGGGGACTGAACTCTGGGCCTTGTGTAAACTAAATTCATATGCTACCATAAGATACATCCCCTTTAAAAAAAATCCTGGGTGAGTGACTTTCTAGTCTTTTCCTGCATCTACCTAATGATTGTCTTATTTTTGAGTCTTACTGTGTAGCTCAGGCTGGCCTCAAATTTGTGGTGATCCTCTTGCCTCAGCTCCCTAGTGCTAGGATTGTAGGTGTGCACCTTCACACCCACTCTTTTTAAATTGATTACTTGAATTGCATTGATTAGTTTTCTAGTACTGAGTCAATCTTGTATTTTTGCAATAAAACCTAAGAATATATTCTGATACATATTAATCTTTTTGTTATGTGTGCTGGGGCTTGAATCTAGACCCTTGAGCATGTACTCTATCATTAAGCCCTGTCCCCAATCCCCTTATTGTAACAGGGTCTCACTGTAATACCCAGAACTGGCAATCTTCCCAAGTCAGCCTCTCAAGTAGCTGATTTCTGGGAGTTCTGTCTGTGTTCATAGCAGAGAAAAGTTGCTGGTTTTAAAGCTTATACTGCTTTTAAAGTAAACTAGGAGGGTCAAGGATATTGCCTGCCTGGCAAGCATGAAATTGTGTCTGATTCCTGCTACTAAGAAAAAAATAAACTGGGATCTAGTCCTTTCCCTAGTCTGGAAACTTACATCAGTTACTAAGAGAGGAGAAAGGTGCTAGTTAAAACTAGTCAGTCTAAGGGTTTATCAATTTTATTTTCCAGGGACTCTACTTGGAAATTGTTTTATATGTATGTTTTCTATTTTATTGACACTTGATTGTTTTTCCTCTTGTTTTTGAGACAGGATGTCACTGTGTAGTTCAGGATGGCCTTCAACTCCCTATCTCAGGTTGGCCTCAGAACTCATGGCAATCTTCCTGTCTCAGCCTCTCAAGAGTCCTGGGATTATAGACATATACCACCACACCCAGCTCTTTCTACTTCTGGATTTATTATTCTAGTCCAGATTCTTGACATGAAAAATTAATTTGACTTTCAGATTTTCTTTTATAATGTGTGAATTTATATGAATACTAATTTCTTTTTAAAGCACTGCTTTAGCTATATAAAGGTTCTAATGTGACATTATCTTTATTATCATTCTACTCAAAGACTGTGTAGTTTCCTGTATTTTCGTTTTTTTTTTTTTTTGGTATTGGGGATCAAACTCACAACCATGTGCTTGGGAGGCAGGTATATTTCTTCTTCTATCAGTTTAGAAGTATAATGTGTAACTTTTTTTTGGTACCAGCGATCGGACTTACAATCTCACACTTTTCATGTAAGTGCTTATACTGCTAAACTAAATCCCTGGCCCAATGCCTAACTTTTAAACAAGGAATTTTCAGTTTTTTCCTAGTCTGAGCCCTATATGGTCAGAATCATCCTATTGTTTTAATTTTTCTGAAAAATCTTAAAGGTTGCTTGATGGTCCAGGTATAATCAATCCTAATAAATCTTGAGGTACAATTAATGGCAGTACAGGCCTATAATCTCAGCGCTCAAAGGATTATAGGAGGCAGGAGGATCATGAATTTGAGGTCAGTCTGAGCTACATAGCAGACTGTCTCCAAATACATACAATACCCACCCCTCCAAAATATGTATAGACAGACACAGAGACACACAGGTGAGAGGATAATGTTCTACGTGTGTCGATTAAATTAGATTGTGTAATTCAAAATTTTACATGTTATACCTGCTTTTGGAACACATATAAAAATATTTTCCAAAAATCAAATTCCACAAAGTATCAGCAAAGAAAAATCTCATTTCATTCTATGGTTCCCTATTGCAAATATTTTTTAAAACTTTTACTTATGATGTTGGGGACTGAATTCAGTCCCTTGTGCATACTAATCATGTGTTCAAGTACTGAGTTGTACTCTAGCCTGCCACGAGCTCTTGATAGTAGTAACTTTCTACATCCTTCTTTTCCTAACTTCTGTATGGCAGTAACAGAGAGGAACCGGGGGCTGGGGATTTAGCTCAGCAGCATAAGCACCTGCCTTGCAAGTAGGTGGTTGTGAGTTTGATTCCTGGTACCAACAAAAACTGAAACAAACAAACAAACAAACAAAAAACCAAAACAGCAGAGGAACCCTCTGCAGGTAATGAGGAAAGCATGGGTACTGGTGCTTCTCCTTGCCCTCCCACTGAAAATCTCACAGGCCTTCTAAAGTCTTTGAAAAAAGAAGCTGAAAGTGTCTTGCTGAGGGCCAGGCACAGGACCAACTCTAGAGATGCTCTCTAAGCCCTAGACTTCCAAGATGCATTACTTTCTCACGGAAACCTGTCTACTCACTGGCATGAAAGCCAAAAGTCAGCACCTGTTCCTACAAGATATTTTTTCTTTCTTTTTCGTGTTACTGGGAATTAAGCCCAGGTCTTCACACTGAGCTACATCTCTGGCCTTTTTTTTTTTTTTTATTTTAAGATACAGGGTGGCTAAGTTTCCTAGGCTGGGCTTGAAATGACCACGTTAGTGCCTTAGTCTCTCAAAGTGTTGGGAGTACAGGCATGTGCTACTGTGTCTGGCTCAAGAGATAAGTTATCAGGTCAACAGCACTATCTCAGCCTCCAAGTTTTTGTACATCATCTGCAGTCTCCTACATTCCCTAAAACTCTCCACACAGGAACCATCATTACACAAATGTAAGGCAATGTATGTGTATAAGCAGGTATGATGAAGATTACCTGATCAAAGTGACTGGATATCTGTTGACAAAATAAAATCTCCAGTTAAAAGGAAAAGTTATTTTTACAAAAACAGAAGCATGTTTTATTTCAGTCCTGTTGGGGGAGTGAGAGGGACAGAAAACACAAAATAAGGGGAGGGGTCTCTTTATACAATACACAAAACATCAAGACCAATCACAAGGAATAATACCCATTCTGCCCCTCCCCCAACAACTCCTTTGTGGGTTCCAAGGCCAGCTGAGAATAGATGGGACAAGAGTTAAGACACTATTGGCACAGTAACATGGCCAATGCACCGAAAGATGGAGAGAATTTCCCAGGGAGCAAGGCCTGGGCCTCAGCTGCTTCCCCAGTGGAGGGGGAATGAGAAAACTTTGGCTCAGCAGGAAGGCGGTTGTCAAAAATCAGGGTTACCCTAGGTGGACTCTCCAGATCACAGGCTGTGGGCTGAAGGAAGTCAAGACGTCTATTCATTCCATGCTGGTTTCTGCTTTCTCCAAGACCTCTCCTCATCAGGTTTGGTTCTCCTCTTCATTTTGGAAGGCAGAGGAATAAGTGCTTATTCTACCCTACCTAAACTTAGGCTATTTAAATACTACTTTCTTGGCTCTAATGAGACAGAAGCCAACTAACAAGGCCGGCTCCCTTTGTGAAAGTCGGCTTGAAAGAGCCCTTGAGTTGGCAATACTGCCTCTGCAGAGATTTCTGAACTTGCCCTTATAGATCTTCATCAAATCTGTTAAGAGACATATATCTTCAACTGTATGAGAAGTGCACAGAAAAGACTTGGTCCCTCTCTAGAGCTGGACCAGCAATCCCATCTCTCACTGGAGATGGGGATGAGAGAGGGCAGGTACTAACATGAAAGGAATAGGGAAGGCAAGGCAGATTATACTAGGTTAGGTTCAAGCCTATGGACTGTGAACAGAACAATCTAAAGCTCAGGAGAAGGAACATAATATGAACAGGCAAAACTATTTTAGTGAACCCTGTAATTCCCATGGATAAAGAAAAAAAAAAAAAAGACTAATGAGCAAGCAGAGTCCAGTCCTCCATCTTAAATGTGAATAAAATAAACCCATTCAACTAATACTGCTTCAAGTACAATCATGAAGACAGATGGAGTTGTTGAAATTTACACTAAAAGAGTGGGATCAGGTGGCCTAGTGCATTAGCCCCAGGCACCTCCCTTTTAAATGTCATCCAGAATATATCTTTGAAGACTTAAATTTGAAGACTGCCACCCCTCTTGCCACGGTATAATACCATTTTAGGATAGCAGGATGAGTTAAGACATCTATTTTAAGTTTAATAAGAGGGAAGTGAAACAGAAAAGCAAGCAGCGAAAGCCAGAAACAAGGTTAAGGTCCTCATGGCACCCAGGGCTAGGAGCAGAAGGAGGGGAGGAGGGAAACAGGCGGTGTTTTCCTGCTGTCCTTTGGCTTTACATCTTCCCCCTGGCTCCTATTCCTCCCAACAGCCTGATGTAGCTATTGGCCTGCCAGAGGGGATATAATGCCCAGACCAATTTTTTATTGAGCTTATGCAGCTAACAGACTTGTAAACAGTGCCAACTGACAAAGTTTTGCTAAAAATTATAGCTTGTGTCCACTAACACACCTCTCTCTGAGATTAAAAACAAACAAAAACCCCAAAGTAAACAAATACTGAGAGAGAGAGAGAGAATTAAGAGACACATCTTGAGTCTTCCAAGAAGGCAAAGTAAAAAACGCCACATGGCTTGGTCCCAGGCGCTCACCATGCCTAGAGTGCTGCTGCTGTCACCACTGTCTCCCCGCCTGCCACTGGCTAGGTAGAGGAAGGGGAGCAGGGTCATTTTGGGCATGCTGCAAATACAGCATTTGCTGGTGTTGACACCCTTCTGGGGCTGTAGTAGCAGACTGCTGTGTCAGGAGCCCATTTCCTGGGAGTAGCCGAGGGAGCCCAGGTCCTCAAGGCAGCCTGAGATGGCAGCGCGTACACCTCAGCAGGGGAACCTTGCCCCTTTTCTCCAGTGCAGTTCGGCATTGAGGTTGTCTATTCTCAGTCAGCAATAAAACCTGAGCTGATTTCCTCGTGGGTCCCCTCCCTTCCCCAACTTGGGGAGTAGTGGGAGGAGACAGGGGAGGATCACTGAGGGGGCAGGGGGATACCCCGGGGATCGGTGACCTGGCCCTCTTGCAGGTTCTTCACCAGTTGTGCAAGCCAGCGTTTCGTGGTGGTGTCATCTTTTAGCACCTGGGCAAAGGTTGTATCCTTCAGCTGGTCAGGGAGGCACTGCCTGAGTGCTTCACGTGCCCTACATCAGAAACAAACAAACCAACCAGGGAGACCAACAAATAAACCTAGATTTGGGGGTTAGGGAAGAGCCCCTTTCTTAGACATAAATACACAGCAAATGGGAATCTATGGTTCTGTCAGGTTATATTTAGAAGCCTTTAAAATTCTCTAATACTTATATCAGACATTGGCTCAAAGATCTTTAGATCTGTAGTCTGAAAATATTTTCAGAATGATGTCCCAGTATAGAATTTCATGGAAAAGCAAAATGGAATAAAATGGTGCAAGTTTACTTCAAATTGCTTTCTGATTTATTACAATCAATATCAGAATATCATATTAAAAATAGGTGAGTTATAGTAAATCAAATACTCCAAAAACCATTAACAGCAGATATGACCTCATTGTATATGATAAGTTAATGAATTTTCATTCTATACTAACTTATCAACTTATGACTTTACAGAAACTGTTTTAATTTTATATTTAAAAATCTTAATAAGATGAATCATAAAAACAAAACTATGGTAGCAGCATTATCAGATGAACTTTAAATGTTTCATTTTCTTTGAAATGATGAACAGCAGAAAGTCAAATCTGAAAACCTAAAAAAGGCAAATGTTAACTATTTATAGGGCTATTCTAAACAAAGTTATAGATTTTGTATTTCGATAAATAGAATTTTAAATAAACACATTTTCAAATTTTGGTGACAGCAGATACTGAAGACCAGGACAAAATGGACAAAAGAAATAGGAAAGGCTTGAATAACTTCAGTGGCAACACACTGAGTTCACATTAAATCAGGTTATTCTCATTCCTAGGAACGCCAGAAATCACTCCATTACATGATTTGTCAGAATCTCAGCCAGTGGTTTTCGGCATAAATTATGGATTTGCAAAGCACAAGGTCAAACATTTTTAAATTGCATCAGATCTGCAATGTATGATTTCTGGCAGAAAGATTACGAACATGGGGAAATAAAACAATTAGCTCAAATATCTCACAGAAATCAGAGACCTAGAAATATACTTAAGAGCCCTGAAGGCTATGATCCTTTTTAAGCAATGTTTGAAAGTATACTTCTCTTTGTGACCCTTTGGAATATCAACTGAAAGCTCAGACCACAGGAGTAATGCATAATAAACTTTCCCCTGGAATTAGAAATATACACTCTGGAAATTCATTGTAAGACAATTATATAGGAAGCTACAACTCTGATGGAGTTTTAAATTTGGCACTTTAAGATTCAGCAAAATACTTCCTTAAAGCCCTCTAAACTCTGTAAATGTTTACCTGGGATTATCTGAGAGTCGAAGGTAACATCTTACTACATGCTTCAGTAGACGGGCAGAAGGCTCTTTGGACAGCTGCAGGACCATTTTACCCTGTTTTGTCCAAAATAGGAAGTGGGTAGGGGAAAAAAAATACAAAACATAAAATAACTATAACTGACATCAGAGATTATTAGATTGTTCAAGAATCGTTATAGAAACTTCTAGAATTATTTCTAATTAGAAGACTATAGCTGATCCAGGGCCAATTGCCAAAGGCCTAATCTGTGTGGTCAGAGGTATAGTACAAATGCGGTAGATGAAAAACTCACCAAGATCATGGCCACATGGGAAAAACGCTCATATGTCTGACATATATAAGCCAAACCAGTGTCATCTAAGAGGATCTTCTGGAGGATGAATGTGGCAACCTGAAGTAAAATAAACAGTTAAAAAAAAAAGTTGCTCAATGGCACTTGTGATTTTGTCTTAACTTGTTGACTAAAAACTTATGAACAGGTGCAAAAAATAAATCCTCTTTTACAACCCAGAACTCATTGTTCGATATGAGTTTTGATACATACTAAACGTAGTGGTACAAGTCTGTGATTCTGGGGCTCTGAAAACGAGGCATGAGGAATTAAGCCTGAACTGTATTGTGAGACTCTACCTCAGAAAACAAAGCAAAAACAAAATTATGATAACCTAGTACAAATTAAAGTGATAGTGTTAACGAGTAAGTTTTATTCTAAGACTAAAGTTAATATAGAGCACAGGATATGAGCAAACTAGATTTTGTAGTATTCAGGATCTTTTTCCTGAAGATTTTACATGACTTACGTTTGCAATAAACCTCTAAGGTACATACTGTTATTCTAATTTTACATAAAACGAGGGGAAAATTCTAGGTACTTATCAGATTCTAAACACGGGGAGGCTTTTTCAGTTACCAACTATGTGCCGGTTAAGTTTCCAAGTGACAAAGCTACCAAGTGGTAGGGTCGAGCTCTAAATACTGTTTGAATTTTATAGTCTCTTCTCTTTTCTGTGCGCCAAGAGGATTTTAGTGATTCGGTTATGCTTTACTTCTTTCAGGTAAGGCAAATAAGGCTTTTTTTTGTTATTGTTTTCCTTTTTATCGGTACCAGGGATCAAACTCAGGACTGCCTGCTTGCAAGGCAGGCGCTTATGCCGCTGAGCTAAACCTCTAGCCCCAGCAAGTAAGGCTTTAAAAATATAATTTAATAAAGACTTTTCTTTTTAAAGACAGAGTCTTGATGTTTGATTCAGGCCCCAAACTTGTGATCTCCTGCCTCAGCCTCCCATGGGCTGGGATTATAGGCATGCATCATCACATCTGGCTTTGTTCTTAAAAGATCTGTCTTTTTGAGCCTTTCTTTAAAAATTATTCCAGCAGTAATAAACCCTGGCTGTAAAGTTTATATCTATACTCAATTTCCCCCTTCAATTTAAGGTCATTAACTTTTTTTTTGGTCTTTTTTGTTTTTATCGGTACCAGGGATCGAACTCACGACTGCCTGCTTTCAATGCAGGTGCTTATGCCGCTGAGCTAAATCCCCAGCCCCAAGGTCATTAACTTTTACACAGAAGAGATTTAAAAATACTAGTTTAATTCAAATCAGGTAATTTTACAATGATTCTCTTCCTTGGCTGCTCAACAAAACCAATTGTGGAAATTAAATTTTACTGTTTTACTGAGGTATAACATTGTTGTAGGCTGAACAGTGGCCTCCAAATAGGTTCTAATCATGAAATCCTGAGAATGTTGCTTTATATGGTAAAAATGAGATGAGACTCCGGAGCTTTATATAGAAAGATTATCCAGGTGGGCCATAAGGGTAAGTTTCCTTGTGAGAGAGAGGTAACTGGCCAAGGTGGTGCACACCTGTAATCCCAGGAATCAGAGGTTGAGGTAGGAGGACTGCCATGGTTTGAGGCCAGTCAGGGATACATAATGAGTTCAAGGTTAGCCTAAACTACTGTACTTAATGAGACCCTGTCTCAAAAACAAACAAACAAACAAAAAAACAAACAAAAAAAAAAAAAAAAAAGGGAGGCAGAAAGAGATTTAACCACAAAAAAGGTGGCAATATAAGGAGAGACAGATCTGAATATGCTTCACTATTGCCTTGGTTCTGCAGATTGAGCCAGGAACCAAGCAATGTAAGAAATAGTGTTCTAGAAGGTAAAAAAGGTAAGGAAAGGGAATCTGCTATATAAGCCAGAGGAAACATTGCCCAGTCCCTCTTGACTTTAGCTAAGTATACAAGATGATTTGTACTTTCCAAAACTGTAACAATACACTTGTATGATTTTAAGCTCCTAAACTTATGGTAATTTGTTGTAAGAGCAACACATGGCAATAAAAATACAAAGTGTGTAAATGCACTAATCTTAAGTGCTCCTTGATGAGTTTTTATCTACATACACATCTGTGCACTGGAACTAAATTAAAATGTTTCCAGCAACTCAGAATTCTAGCATTCCCTTGTACCTTTCCCAGGGGTAGGAATACACCTCGGAGGTAACAATCATTCTTACTTACTGCAATTGGCTTTGCTGTCTTTGAACTTTACAGAAATGGAATTGCATCAACAACTCATGTATCTGTTTTTTTTTCATTCAATGCATCTGAGAGTCTTCCATGTTACATATATTAGCAGCTCAAACTTTTTATTTTGTGAGTATACTACAACAAATCCATCTTTTATAAATAAAGCCACTATCAACATTCTAATATATGTTTCAAAGCACCGAAGAGCCCATCACTCCTGAGTATATACCTATGAGTAGGACTGCTGGGTTATGGATAGGCTTATGTTTAGTTTTAGTGCACACTGGCAAACAGCTTTCCAAAATAGTTACACTATACATTCACCAAAAGAAATCTAAAAACACACACACAACCAAATTTTACCATCCTGGGGAGTGATTCAATAGTCACATGTGGGACCTGGAGTGTATGTTTCTATTTTTTTTTGGTCTTTTTTGAGACAGGGTTTCTATGCAGTTCAGGCAGGCTTTGAACTCACTTTGTAGGCCAGCTCAAACTCATAATGATCCGCCTGCCTCAGCCTCCCGAGTGCTGGATTACAAGCCTGAGCCACTACACCTGGCTGTATGTTTCTAAAATATTTCACAGGTGGTTGTATCACCTAGCAGCCCTGACTCAATCTTTGCTATATTAAGTATCTACTATAAACAACATACAATGCTAAGTGCCACATATAAAAGGGTCTCTGCATATGTGGAAACAAAGGAAGAAAGATAAGTTAGAAGAAAGGCATGATATGGGAACTATTCTAGTTGAGCATTTAAAGGCTAAAAAACCTAGAGACAGGGGCTGGGGATTTAGCTCAGTGGCATAAGTGCCTGCCTCGGAAGTGCGAGTTTTGAGTTCAATCCTTGGCACCCAAAACCAAAAACCAAAACCAACCAACCAATAAACCAACAAAAAACAACCCCTCCCCTCAGAGACAGGGTGGAGTAATTTTAATTCTAGACAATTGGAAAAGGGAAGGATCATTTAGAATGGGGGTTCTTGGAACAGGGAATAATCAAACTGGTTATTGTGGAAAATTAGAAAACTACAGATAAGGAAAAAAAATTCTATAATTCTACCATTTCAAGAAAATAGATTTAAAAAGTTAAATTCTCTAATCCTTCCATTCCAAGATAATCACTATAATCTCTGGAGTGTATGAGATGTGACTGAAAAATATAGTGTGTGTTTAAATTACTTTGAACACAGTTATCTCATTTTTACCTTCTTTTTGGGGTACTGGGAATGGAACTCAGGACTTCAAGCTTGCCAGGTGGGCATATCCCCAGCCCTTGCCACTTTCTGAAAGTCCTTTATTGGGAGCGTCTGTTGTGGCTGCCTTAATGTACTAAGCTGACTGAAGCCATTTACTTTCTATGGTCATTTTGACTGGGGAAGAGCTACAAATAACAGATCCATGGAGTAAGGTAGAAGAGGTCAACCATAATACAGTGCAGGTGAACCTCTGGCACGTGTATCACAGGGGGCCATTTGCTATTACTAAAAGCTCTGAAGGCTTGCCATCACTGCCATAATGTTTTCATGAATGTGCTTTTTGCTGGATGGCACTTGGCAGGAATGTTCACTATATTTTTGATCAGACCTTGTAAAAGACACTCAAGGATGGAGCTCTTCCAGAACTGTTCCAGGAAGTGGCAAGAATAATGACACGTGTGTTCAAAGGAAGGATTTTGAGGGAAATTAATGGCAGTGTGTCTTTACTATAAATTTTTTGGCATTTAAAATAGTCACTGTATCTTTTAGTTTCTTCTTCTAAATTCACTTAGACATTTTACTTTATTCAGTATAAAAACCTAATAGTTTGGCTGGGTATGATGGCACAAGATCATAATCCTAGAGATCTGTAATCCTAGATCTCTAGAAAGCTGAGGCAGGAGGACTGCAAGTTTGGGTTCAGGCTAGACAACTTCATGACTTGGTGAGATCCTGTCTTAAAATTAAAAACAAAATCTCACAAACATAATTCATGTATTTTGAGATAAGTTCTTATTATACTGCCCAGGGTGGTTTCAAACTGGTACAGTAAGTCATCTTCCCACCTCAGCCTTGTAAGTAGCTGAACTACAGGCATGTAGCAGTATGTGAGGTCCTCAACCTCAAAAATGTGAGTAAACGGAAGCTTTTCAATTTAAGAACTTAAAATTTATAAATACTGGGGCTGGGGATTTAGCTCAGCGGCATAAGCGCCTGCCTTGCGAGCAGGCAGTCGTGAGTTCGATCCCTGGTACCGATAAAAAAAAAAAAATTTATAAATATTTATACATATGAACAAAACTATGTTGGGGAACAAAAACTACTTCAATGTTCTCAATTTACTGATAATGCATAATCACTTTAACAAATTGAGCTTCTCTTTGAGACTTAACAACCATAATTTATCCCATCTATTTGATGAGGGTAGAAAATGCTGTAAGAAGAAATACTCAGTTAAGAAAGAAGCAGAGAACTTTAAAGATCAGAAATTGAAAGTGAAGGGAAAACAATGAATATGACAAGGTACTTATATTTTTTTCTTTATGTAGTCCAGGCTAGCCTTGAACTCACTCTGTAGCCTAGGCTGGCCTTGAACTCAGTGATCCTCTTGCCTCAGCCTCCCAAATGCTGGGATCACAGGAGTGCACCATCACACAGTGCTTCCATGACAAAGGACTTATGCCCTATGTGTTACTCTCCTGAGTAATGTGCGAATCATTATATCAGTTATGTTGAGGTATAGTCTGACAATTGGAAAAATTCTGAAACATAAAGAACAGATCATGCAACATATGAATCTATCTGTGCTTATGTTCTCAAAAATAAATCAGACACAAGGATAAGTGTTGGCCAAAAAGGGAAAATTTCTGGGGTTGGGGATTTAGCTCAGCGGCATAAGTGCCTGTTTTGTAATCACGTGGTCGTGAGTTTGAACCCCAGCATAAAAAAGAAAAAAAAAAAGAAAGAAAATTAAAGAAAAAAAATCACAAAAAGGAAAAATTTCTGAATGTGTGGATATAGAATTAGTACTGATTTCACA